ATCAGAAATACATTTGGGCGTCATGTGAACAAACACTACAGTATGGTGACAGTGATATGAAAATGTATGTGTAAATCACATATTTCTTTGAACATTTACAAGATTGGAGCTGACAAGACAGTGTGGATTCAGCCGCGCACTGATGTATATGTAGCTGTGTGTCTGGAATCTAAATATTACAGTTAGCACCCCTTTAATTTAGAGATGGTAACACTCCACCTAAAAACAGGTTTTATATATTCTGTATCCCTTCCAGTAGAAAATCAACAACAAAAACTACTTGTAATTGCACATTTAATGATGCTTAATGAACAAAACGGCATCAAAATAACTTTGAAATTTTAGATATTTTTTACTTCTCTACAGCAAAATAAATTCTAAAACATATATTTCATAAATCAACAACTATAGATGACAATGTAAGTATACTGGCTAAACAAATTATCACATAACCAAATATGATTCAATTATACAAAATTCAAGTAAAGAACTTTTAAACACCATTCATATATTACATAATTATAACTAAAATAAGTGATATTAATGTTCAACTTGTTCAGATAAATTCAAACTTTTGAATTCCGGAAACTTCATAAATCCAAACATTTTGACCAGTCCAACGGGTGATCGGTTTTCAGAAGTTACACTGTATGATCATTAATTTCCTATACTGTAAAAAGAAGCCGGTTTATTTTTATTGAAAGAAATATATATTTTTTTTAAATCCTCTCAAAAGTTCTCAAAAGAACTTGTCCAACTTCATTCAATATATAGTATTATTGACTATAAATTGAGGGAATTTAATATAATTTATAATGAATACAAAATATATTTGAAGTTTTTTAAGCTTAAATTTTCATTGTCATTCTTCTTTTACCACTATATGTTATTTGTACGTTTATATTAAACAAAACAATAATAACAAATTACACACTTAAATTATCACATTCAGATAGAGATCATACCAAAAAATATATATATGAAAACCTGCAATAAATGAAAAAGTAATAACATGAAACATGATGATGAATAAAAAAATGAGGGACTAAACCTTAACAAAATTTTGTCTGGAATATAGACAGCTACAAATATACATACATGTGATTATATAACAGGCAACATTTTAGTATGTTTTTCATTATCTTTTTATTTTGTCCTCTTAAAATTGTGCAAACAAGTTATTGGTCTAGACCTAACATCAAATGGAACATTTAATCTTAAAAAATTATTTCTCGTTCTATCATGTCAAAAAACCTCAGAGGAGTCCCTTTAAAATAAAGTTCAGTGGAGTCCCTTTAAAATAAAGTATGTCTGCTTTGCTTAATAGGAGGGCATCAGATTTGTTACCTGGGTCATGTTGATTTGATCCTCAAGCTCAACAAAATTTCTCTGTGACAATGCATCTCTGACATTGTGGCTTAAATGCAATTTCATTAGTCTCTAATTGTTGATTCAGAAATCATGCTGGATGAGAAGTTGGTCTAAGGAGAAGAATTTTTTACAAGACTTAAGGTTTTCCATTCTAATCCTTTCCTTTGACTATATGATTAGACTTGTATTACATTGTAATTGTACTACTGTTGATATGTATACATTTTGGGAAATAAATATGTTTAAACTAAATGGTCTGTCACTTGTGGAGAAATCAGGAATTACTGGTTACAGCAGTTATCTGAGAAAAACTGGCTTGATGGAACGACCATCCAGGTATGACCATGACCAAATATGTGTTGAAATTGGCATAAAAATCAGATACACAGTCATACAAACATGAACTGAAAACATGAAGTTCCATGTTGTAGAACTAGCTACTACTACTAACTACTAGACAAAGAACTAATGTAAAAATGGAAGCATAAAATCCTTATTTGTTACTTCAAATGGTCCATATTTTCAGATGACCCAATTAACCTATCATTAAACTAAAGACAACTTGTGATTTTGGTCAGAAAAAAAATTAAAATTAGGTAATGAATGTGAAAATTATGGTTATATAAATTATACTTTGATTTTGTTTTTTCAAATATGTATACATATTATTCTGGTACAGAAAATGCAGATGAACTGTGAGATTTTTTGAAATTCAAAACAAATTAATGAATCTATCATAAAACATTACTATACCAGGAAAAATTGCTCCAGAGTACATTCAAAAATCTCAAACATTTCATATTCATTGCTTTTGCAAAGTGACATTTTGTTGTTCATAATATTAGCAAGTTATTTGTACGAGATAAATTCTCTTCCAAATTCCCCTTCTTTCAAATGACTGACAAAATATATGTTTAAATGTTAAAAAGAATAAAATCCCGCTACCAACATGCATGCACAAAATCATTCATAACAAAATATTACATTTTCTTTACTATAACTACTATTACACTAACTTGTTAACTAATATTCAATACTGCAAAATGACATAGGATAAAATGGCAAGTCAAGATTGTACATTTTTAGAAATTAAGTTGAACACAATAACATAACATTTGCAATAATATAGGAGTGAAAATTCAACACTGTGAGATGACAAGATTTAAGCCAAAACTTTATATTTCTGGTAAAGTTTGATCATACTGAATTTATATTAACCCGTATCATGCTAATTATTGTAAATGGACTTGTCCATCCTTCAATGTAGACACAACCATTCATCATTTTTAGGGACAATTTCAAAATCAACTAGAACTATCACTAAATGTGATTAATACCCCCACAAGTCTGCTTCGGAAATGAGGATGTATTAGTAACAGAATACCTTGTTTTATTATAGAATTGAAACATAGAGTTATGGTTGAGGGCAATTAAAGATAATTGTGGTTCATGTATGTTGCATTTCCTTTCAATGTGGTTGGCCATTGATGAAGTTTAATTGAATTACTCTGTAATAAGTCCAGAAAGACAAAGAAAAAGAACAAAGGGCAATAACTCTATAAATACTGAAGATAGAGTTATAGTTCTTGTGCACTGCACTTCCTCTTATTGTGCTTGACCATTGTATGAAGTTGTTTTGAATTCCAACCAGTACGTTTTAAGTTATGCTCCGGACAAGGAAAAGTATCAAAGGGCAGTAACTCTGTATTTTGTCAAAATGGAGTTATGGCTCTTGTGCACTGCACTTCCTTTTAATGTCCTTGACAACTGTATGAAGTTGTACTGAATTCCAAACAGTAGTTTTCAAGTTATGCTCTGGACAAGGAAAAGTAACAAAGGGCAATAACTCTGTAATTAGTCAAGATGGAGTTATGGTTCTTGTGCACTGCACTTCCTCTTATTGTGCTTGACCATTGTATGAAGTTGTTTTGAATTCCAACCAGTAGTTTTCAAGTCATGCTCTGGACAAGGAAAAGTAACAAAGGGCAGTAACTCTGTAATTAGTCAAGATGGAGTTATGGTTCTTATGCACTGCACTTCCTCTCAATGTGCTTGACCATTGTATGAAGTTACAATGAATTCCAACAATAAGTCTTCAAGTTATGGTCAGGACAAAAGAAAGCAATGGAAAAGTAACAAAGGGCAATAACTCTGTAATTAGTCAAGATGGAGTTATGGTTCTTGTGCACTGCACTTCCCCTTATTGTGCTTGGCCATTGTATGAAGTTGTTTTGAATTCCAACCAGTAGTTTTAAAGTCATGCTCTGGACAAGGAAAATAAACAAAGGGCAGTAACTCTGTAATAAGTCAAAATGGAGTTATGGTTCTTGTGCACTGCACTTCCTCTCAATGTGCTGGACCATTGTATGAAGTTATAATGAATTGCAACAATTAGTCTTCAAGTTATGGTCCGGACAAAAGAAAGTAATGGAAAAGTAATAAAGGGCAATAACTCTGTAATTACTTTAGATAGAGTTATGGTTCTTATGCACTGCACTTCCTCTCAATGTGCTTGACCATTGTATGTAGTTATATTGAATTCCAACCATTAGTCTTCAAGTTATGGTCCGGACAAAAAAAAGAAGGCAATGGAAAAGCAACAAAGGGCAATAACTCTGTAATTACTTTAGATAGAGTTATGGTTCTTGTGCACTGCACTTCCCCTTATTGTGTTTGACAATTGTATGAAGTTGTTTTGAATTCCAACCAGTAGTTTTCAAGTTATGCCACGGACAAGGAAAAGTAACAAAGGGCAATAACTCTGTAATTAGTGAAGATAGAGTTATGTTTCTTACGCACTGCACTTCCTCTCAATGTGCTTGACCATTGTATGTAGTTATATTGAATTCCAACCATTAGTCTTCAAGTTATGCTCCGGACAAGGAAAATGCAACGGACAAAAAAAGCAATGGAAAAGCAACAAAGGGCAATAACTCTGTAATTACTTTAGATAGAGTTATGGTTCTTGTGCACTGCACTTCCCCTTATTGTGTTTGACAATTGTATGATGTTGTTTTGAATTCCAACCAGTAGTTTTCAAGTTATGCCCCGGACAAGTAAAAGTAACAAAGGGCAATAACTCTGTAATTAGACATGATAGAGTTATGGTTCTTGGGCACTGCACTTCCTCTCAATGTGCTTGACCATTGTATGTAGTTATATTGAATTCCAACCATTAGTTTTCAAGTTATGCTCCGGACAAAGAAAATGCAAGGACGTCTGGACCGACCGACCGACCGCCCTACCGACCGCCCGACCGACCGACCACCGGGTGACTCCTATATACCCCCCCAAACTTCGTTTTTGGGGGTATAATAATGACTGAATAGCTAGCAACCAGTGCTAACAATGATCATACAGCTAGGATAGTGCCGGCTGAACTTGGTCAGCACTGGCTGCATGGGATGAATCTTTTGTGGCTAGAAAGCTAAAATAATAAGGTGCAGCTTCTTTCAACTTTTACAGATGGCCAAAGCATACTTTGTACACTGCTTGTGTGTTACTTTAGTCTTAGTTGCCGCAATGACAATTTAATTAAATCTTCCCAATACTATGGAGAAACCTTGCGCAAGAATTTTAATGTCAATGACCTTGACCCTGTCACAAGTCTGGTTTCTTTACTATTAATCCAATATCCGCATTAGGGATATTTAGACCAAGAAAGAACATTTTATGTTTAAAGATTTGGGACATACAGAAAACAGATATTTTAGGATGACATCACTTTAACTGTCATATAATATCTTGTTTGTATCTTCACTTTTGCATAGAAAAAATCTGTAAGTTTTTTTTTCAAAACACCTCAAAATACTAGATCCTTTGAAGAACTAAAAAAATTGCTAAGTAAAACATATATTACATCAATCTATACAGAAACTGGTCATGGCATAAAAATTGTTGTTCAATAAACACATGATAAAGGTGATCAATCATACATTCATAAAAATTTGGGACAAATTTATCACCTCATATAGCAATTACATAAGGGTCAATACAAGAAAAATAAAACAACAATTGTTTTTACTTGCACTGGCCTATATACATAACAAAAGAAATCAAAAGAATAGAATGCCACGGAATGACGTTGACCTTTGACTAACTGACCTCCACAAGCAATTGGGGTCATTTATATGTCAAAACCAACCTCCCCACCAATCTAAGGCTCATAAGCCAAACCCCTCTTTAGTTATTTGTCTGACAAGTTTTTATGGTCAAGATGACCTTGACCTACAAACAACTGACCTCAAGATCAAAAAGGGTCATCTTCTAGTCAAGGTCAACCAACTGAAAGCCCAAGCATTCTTTAGTTGTAAATTATACAAAACAAGGTTTGACCTACAGATAAACTAACAAACAACAATCAAAGGCATTACTAATCAAGTCAAAACGCCCTCTTTCTGTTAGAATGACCAAAATAAATTTAATGACAGTTTACCAGCTACATTCATGAGTATTCAATCTAAATGTGGAGAGATATTATAGATTGAGCTAGTATTATAATAAAACTCGACACTAGGCTAATTCAACATTTTTTTCTCCATATTTTAAATGCCAACACAACTGCCTTTTCTGGCACAACATATAGAGGAAATTTAGACTCCAACCATTCCTCGTTATGCAATTTGACTAAGCATGAGAGTGTTTCTATTAGCTTCTGTCCCAGTTAGCATAATTATAACATCCTACACTATAAAACTAAAACAAAATCTGTTTTAACAAATATGACTCAATTTCCATGGAGAATAAGCAAAACTAAAACAAAATCTGTTTTAACAAATATGACTCAATTTCCATGGAGAAGAAGCAAATTGATTACAATTTTGAAACTAAAGGAAGATGAGCCATTAATTCTATCAATTTAATTAATGGTTGAATGTTTCCAGAATGTCTAGGCTACTTTGAAAAATGAAAAGGGTCTTTTAATATAATGGCAAATCTATATTGGCCCCTTTTGTTCTTACTTATGATTGGGAAAATATATCTAACTGTTATGTGGTTAAAGGCTTCTTCCATAATTATAAAAAATGAACAGTGGCATAATATATGCCAGATTTTTACTCGCTTATAGCAAATAAATAATCTCAAGGAATGATTAATTCAAAATATACATACATGTACTGATTTCTTCTTAATCAAAATATACATATTAACTTATTCTTAAACAAAATATACATAGTAATTAATTACGAAACAGAATATACATGTACATGTCTATCGACCAAATGAATTGAAATGCACAACTTTAACGCATTTTTAATCCATATCAATGACAGTCTCTCAAATGATCTTATGATAAATGATATCTTATCAAAAAATTCATTCCAAAATGACCTTTACAACAGAGGTCATGCATAAATATGCATATTCATTATGTAAAATGTTCTTACGAGGAATAGGGTTAGTCAGTTTTTAATTTTGGTGGTGTTTAAGTCGACATGCAGTCTAGCGATAACACTGTGGGACTATAAAATTCTTGTTTCTCCAGCTATATAAAGGTATTTCCAATGAAACAAAAACCGAAAAAAAATATCCAGAATAAAACAAGACATGTGTCCATGTGACACTGATGTTCTGCAACATGGGCAATAAGCTGACAAATATTAGTATTTTCTTTTCACCTTAATATGTACCGGTAAGTTTAAGGGCAATGCTTAACTACTGAAATATTAGTACAAACCAAATATTAATGTAATGAGTACTAAAAATATAACCATGTTAGCGCTGGGTTTTGAAAAAAAATTGTATGTGAGAACTGCCCCAAGTTCAATCCACTGTTGTGACATACTAACAAGGATTTTCTACACTTCTACATAACACATAGACTTCTTATGTTGCTTATGTGTTACCAATCATGCATGATTAACTTATGGACTTATAAATTCTAATGGCAGGGGGCATAAAAATCCAGAGGGTATGTACCCAAACGGCATTCACTTAAATATGCCTATACTCTCAGGTTTACCCAGTTGTTTTTTTTTACCTTGAAAGTAGAATGAACAATATTGGAAATGTCACTTTGAATCATACTCAACGTATTCTGACATCAAATCATACTTAACATACCCTGACATCAAATCATATTTAACATACCCTGACATCAAATCATACTTGATGTATACTGACATCACAATATCTAGCATTTATGATTTTGACAAGCATTGTGAAAAAGCACATTTAGCTGTGTGTCACAATAAATGTAAAGCATACCGTACATGTACAATACACCCACAGCAAACAATACAAAAACATGTATACAATTTCACATATTTTTTTCTTGTAAATTTCGTGAAAACTTACAACTTCAAACTTAATAATTCAGCATAAATGTTTAGAAGCAAAAATAAACCAACAAAAAACAGCTGAATAAACACTGTACATTTAAATTTAACCAAGAAAAAAATTTGAGAATACCAAAAAAATAATTTATCTTTTGTTAAATTTTATATATTTTTAAGCTGGTAATGAAATCTTCAAATTCTAATTAAAAAAAGAAAGATGGTCCTTCCTTTGTTCAAATTTACTTCAAGAAAAAAAAGGAATCTTGCATTACACAAATCTTATTTAAAGTTGAAGATCAATACCTTCTAAGTTTCAGCTTTATTGGCAGTATTCTATGTAATACGGCTAACAATGATTATTATTGCACAAAAAAATTAGTTTTGTGACGGCTATGGCACTTCACAATGTAACCCCTTGCAACGATTTTTCACTCCTAACAAAACATTCCAGAAATTTGGACCCCGTTTTCTAATAATATTAGAAGAAAGACAAAGGTTTAAAAAAAAATATGTTGATAAAGAGTGAGTAATCATGTAAAAAAAAATCTTTTTGAAGCAATAATCGCATGCCTCAATACTCCAATTAAAAAACTTTTTAAAAATCTGTAGTTAAATCATAGTTATGAAATTATAGTTTCAAATTTGAAGTATAATTTTTTGAAAAAGAAAAAAAATATCTGTATATGTCTCACAGTATAATATGCATCATAAAAATTTCATTTCTTTTGAAAATTTCACATGCACTCATAGTTTAATGAAATTTGACTAGTGTAATAGTTTCTATTTTTCAGCATATGTTAAAAAAATCTACAATTTTTTTCTCATACATTAAAGTCTTCCGCCACGTCATCATCCTCAAGCAATTTCTGTTGCATTCGAATGTACTCTGTATACAAAAGTCTTGTCTGGTGAAGAACCTTATTCACATTATGTTTCCGTACCATTTTGTCAAAATACATCGCTAACTCATCGTATTCCATCCCACTCTTCATGATCACGTCCCGATGCTGTATCAACACAGTTAGACAAAGAAACATGAGGAACGGATTCCCGTATCCAAACTCATCCGGTGAAGGCAGCTGCTTGAATCTGTCAAGCTTCCCTTCATCAGGATCTGTCGCCTCTATACAGTCACTGATTCCATTAGCATCCTTAGACTCGTCAGTTCTTGCAGTATCGTCACTTTGAATGTCGAAATGATCGACACAGAATGAAGGTGTATTATCAGAGCACAGCGTTCCTAAATCTTTTTTCGCTTTAGGAATCTCACATACCGTTTCTTTGTATTTCTTGTCGAAGAAGTCTTTCTGATCTTGTGTCAAAACTTCAAAAGTTTTTTTCATATTTTTCTGTTCAATGTCACTACTCTGGCTGACGCTCCTATTTTTAATACCATGTATGTGTAGCGAATTTGTTGACGATGTTAGGGAACCAGTCCCACTATCAGAATCAGCAGGTTCTTTTGGAATAGATGTCATGCTTTTGATCATTCGATTCACCTCAAACAAGGTATGCTCATCTCCGTTTTTAGGTGACAGTTTAAGACCATTACTTTCTGTGTTAGAATTGACTGTATTTGTCTCTTTTTTAAGATCTTGTTTCTGAACCAGTGTATTTCCGTTGAATCTCTGCGCTTGTCCAGGTCGCTTTTTTGGAGACGAAAGAATTCTTTTCATACCACTGAAAAAAGACCCTTTGATTTGAGGAATGTTATTCTTTGTCTTATCATGTTGTTTGTCAGTGTCATCTAGAGATAAATGAAACTGTGCTTGGTCTTCACTTTCTCCCTCAGATTCAGAAACTTGACTGTGTCCAGTGAAAATCACTTCCTGCCTGTCTGCAGACTGGTTATTATTTTTTGTAACCGAAAATTTGTTTTCAACCAATGAACCTGTCTCAGTTAGCGTTTTACTTTCACTTAAAGATAAAACCTCAGCCTCTGAGTCGTAGTCAGTTTTATCTTCAACACTTGCTGTTATTAGACTAGGAAATCTCTCAATTGACTGAGAAGCAGACATGTACGAGGAACTGTTACTACTTCCACTGCTTGTGTTGGCAACCCCTTCATCAGTTTCAGTACTGCTGCTTTCTTTCCCATTTTCATTTTTTGCCTCTTTCGAAATATTTGTGTTCTCACATTTATTGTGAGAATCTTCTTTTTCTGACAATATGGAACCATTCTGCTTTGATGTTGGCACAGCCTCTTCAGAAGAAGAGCTGCTTTCACAATTATTTCCTATACAGTTTTGTGATTCATGACATCTGACTTTTTCATTTCCATCACTTGCAACAGATTCACAATTTCCTTCTTTAACATTGTCGAGTCTTTTATCAGCTAATGATGAACACACTGATTTTGGTGATTTGCAAACCTTCTGGTCGGAACTTTCTTTTACATGAACTGTTGACAGCCTTCGTTTAGCAAGCAAATGTGCATACTGTGTTTTCAAGCCATAGGAAGGCGAGTTTGGGGAGACTGACATCAACAAGGCCGGACAATATTCTGCATCACAAATTTCAAGCTGACCTTCGGGTGGATTTGGCGGAAGTGTACTCCACATCACCTCTAACATATAAAGTGCATCTTCGAATGGAAACTCCCTTTTCATCTCTAACAGAAGCCAGCGATAACAGAAAAATAAATCTTCCGCCCCATGACTTTTCATATAAGCATTGAATACTGGATCGTAAAATTGCACAAGAGTAGATAAATGTTGTAACTTTGTTGTAATCGCCTCCCCGTCATACATAAAATTTGAACGCAGTCTTTTCATCAAGCCACAGAAACACAAGTACGCCTGCGCCTCTTCTTTCTGCACAACCAATAATGGAGACGCTATATCACTCATGCCTTGACAGTACGACACCTCAGGATGCGTCAATGCATACGTCACTAACAGATTGTATAAAGCTACCAAGTTTTTACTATCATCGCCACCCGAGTAATATTTATGCGTTCTATCTGTCCGTAAAACATCTTTCTTCACAAGACTTGCTACATGCTTAGCTTCCTCAGACACCTGTCGCGTACTGAATAAATTTCTCCATTTGTCCCGAAGCTCAAAATACTCTTTCTCTTTCTTTTTCATATAATCAAATCTTTCTCTACCTGACATATCTTTGGGGAAGATGTTAAGAAGATGGCGCCATACAACTCTTCGTAATGAAGGTTCTATCCCACCCTGGTATATACTCAACCTGAATTCTTCCGGTTTGACCATGTGCCCGTCTGAGTCGAGATAATTACGGAATTCCATATCTGTCATAGGAGATTTGATTGGTCGATACAAATGCTCATCTTCCGACTTAATACCTATATATAGGAATCAAATAATTCAATGATTATTTATTGATCAAAGGGTTGCATGTTATATTCTTACAATGCCAACACAACTACATAATTATAAAATATGTTTGATAGATACTTTAATTGGAGGTTCTACGTAATAGTAATTTATACCTGACATGTTAAAGTAAGTACATTTTTTGTATGTTGCTTCTGAATATGAGGGTCTTATAAAAAAAATCGTTTCTTGTCTCAACTTTGATAAAAAAAAATCTGGATTTCCATTGGCTACTTAAAATAAATAAATACATACATGTTCAAATATCTTACTAGGAAATGTTTTGATATATTCATATAAATTTGATTAGGGAAAGCACTTGATTTGTAAGCCATGGGACTCTGGTTCAATCCTCAGACGAAGTCAATTGATCCCAGACATTGAGTCTTAATTGCTTAATTACTGATGGTAATTACTAGTTAGTTATCCAGGAAAGCGAGTTAGGTTGAACAACTCCAAGATATGACCAAAAATATGTTTGAAATGGATATAAACCAGACAAACAAACAAAACAAGCCATCAGTTTGACAGAATGCACAACTTTTCTCAGTGTTTGATAATAAATCAAGAGTCTGGAGTATAAAAGGGCCATGATTCTGTCAAAATCCATGTTTAAGTTATTGGCTTGGACAAAGACCTTCTATTATGTTCTCAAATACATTTGTGATGTTTCGACCCTTTCCCTTCAAAAGTTTTGGAGATATCAACTTGCACACAAAATCTTAACCAAAGTAGGAGGGCGATGCAGCAGGACAACTGTATTTTTGTTAAAAAATCTGAAAATAACTGCTAACCAATGACTCTTTGCACTGTGGAGACAGTTCTTTCCACTCTGTTGGAGATGGTACCAGTAATATTGCCTAAGAATGTCCCCCTGTCAAGGAATGCCATACGATACTGAGGTATCTCCACAGGGGCAATGACGTCCCAATCTTCTAGCGCTGAAAAAGTTCGTATAAACATGATGATTTATAATAATAACAGTAAAGTATTCATGGCCTTCCTGATAAATTAAGCATCTTGAAGTGGAAAATTGATGTACAATGCAGTAAGCATCGCTTACTTAAAAAAAAATTTAACTGCATTAATGGAGAAGATAAATTAAGGGGAGACAAATGGAGAGTGTAAATTCTATTGTTCTTAATCAGAGTTATCTTTCTGATAATTATTATATTTTCACTAGCTAATAAGCTATATATAAAAATTAAAATTTTAGTGAACTAGAAATGTGTCATCATGCCACGGATGCCCCCGCATGCAGCCAAAATTTCAGATGTTATAATATTTAGTTCCAAATTTGTTTGCACAAATTATTGTTTTCATTTTAAGTTCAAAGCCCTTAAAACTTTTCAACGTTTACACAAACCATTTTCATACAATGTTCAAGGCACTGAAATTATTCAGTCTTAACCTTTTGAAAATAGCATATTTCATATTTGTAGCCAAAATAATGGCTACATACATTTCCACAAAAGTATGAGTGCTGAAACTGAAAGTTCAAATTTTTTCCAATTTTCAAGAAAGATAAGTTTTTCCAAAATCATTGAACCATGACCAAATTCAAACTTAAACTGCTTATTCTTAAGATGTATCTATATTATTTTCAAAGTGAAAGGGACATAACTCTGCCAAAAAATCATCGAACCATGACCAAATTCCAACTTGACCTGCCCATTCCTTTGACATATCCATATGTCAAATTTGAGTTGAATATGTAACGCTGTTGGGTAGATAATGAACAGAAACTGTTGACCTGCCCATTCCTTTGACATATCCATATGTCAAATTTGAGTTGAATATGTAACACTGTTGGGTAGATAATGAACAGAAACTGTTAATTTCATATTATTTTCAAAGTGAAAGGGGCATTACTCTGCCAAAAATCATTGAACCATGACCAAATTCGAACTTGGCCTGGGCATTCCAAAAACATATCCATATGTGAAATTTGAGTTGAATGTGTTGTACTGTTGGGGAGATAATAAACAGAAACTGAAAATTTCATATTATTTTCAAAGTAAAAGGAGCATAACTCTGCCAAAAATCATCGAACCATGACCAAATTCGAACTTGACCTGTATTTTCTCATGACATATCCATATGTCAAATTTGAGTTGAACGTGTTGTACCGTTGGGGAGATAATGAACGGAAACTGAAAATTTCATATTATTTTCAAAGTAAAAGGGGCATAACTCTGCCAAAAATCATCTAACCATAACCAAATTCGAACTTGACCTGTATTTTTTCATGACATATCCATATGTCAAATTTGATTTGAATGTGTTGTACCGTTGGGGAGATAATGAACGGAAACTGAAAATTTCATATTATTTTCAAAGTAAAAGGGGCATAACTCTGCCAAAAATCATCGAACCATGACCAAATTCGAACTTGACCTGTATTTTCTCATGACATATCCATATGTCAAATTTGATTTGAATGTGTTGTACCGTTGGGGAGATAATGAAGGGAAACTGAAAATTTATATTATTTTCAAAGTAAAAGGGGCATAACTTTGCCAAAAATCATCGAACCATGACCAAATTCGAACTTGACCTGTATTTTCTCATGACATATCCATATGTCAAATTTGATTTGAATGTGTTGTACCGTTGGGGAGATAATGAACGGAAACTGAAAATTTCATATTATTTTCAAAGTAAAAGGGGCATAACTCTGCCAAAAATCATCTAACCATGACCAAATTCGAACTTGACCTGTATTTTCTCATGACATATCCATATGCCAAATTTGAGTTGAATATGTGCAACCGTTACTAAGATAATGAACAGAAACTGATGATGACGGAATGACAGAATGACGGAATGACGGAATGACGGAAGGACGGAATGACGGAAGGACGGAAGGACGGAACAGGGTAACACTAAATGCCCCGGCCATTACATGGCGGGGGCATAATAAAAATCAATATTACCGGTACTTTCAATCCCTTTTATACACATTTTTATATCAAAAAATGGGTCAGGGGAGTGCCTGCGTCAAGGCAGGATGGGATGACATTAAAATTATGATTAATTTCACATAATAAAATTTTTAAATATTTGATTAATTTTACAATCAAAGGAGAAATCAAGTATTTCACAGTAAATTTTCAGCAGGAAGAGCCACTTATAAACATACATGTATATTCATACACCTTACATAACCTACATTACATAATTCAACATGACACAACTGAACTTTCTCAGAAAAGGAGCCCATAACAAAGAGGGATAAGAAGTTCGGAGACAAAGACTTAAATATACTCTATGCAATGAATAGAAAATTTTGTTGATTTTTTTCTTTTAGAGAATTTTAAATCCAACACTATAATAGCCATATGGGGACTTCTCAAGCTTTACTGGGGAGGAAGACCTCAGGTGCCCCTTTGTGAATTATTTAAGGCAAAGCGGCAACTGATAGAAGAGTAATACTAGTCTTTTACACGCAAAATATATACATGTATTTCTACATATAAATACAAATGTAGTCTTTACTTTTGACAAATATGTATCTAAATATAAAATATTTACTTTCATCAAATGGTTTGAGATCCACTTTCAGTTTAAGACAAGGATCTGACGCATTCTGGAATGCTGCATCCATGTCCCAGTCTGACAGCATACTTAGGTATACGTCTTGACCTCCATCTTGTGACAGGTAACTAATTGTGAAGTCACTGAAATATACATGTTTTAAAGGTCATTATAGGTCATTATATCATTTATCTATGTCTTATCTTTTTCAGGGAGATATTGAAATTATTCAGCTAAATATTTAAATCTTATCAGTGAAATATTTAATTTATCAGTAAGATTATGAAATTTAACAGAAAAATATTGAATTTTTATCAGTGAAATATTGAAATTTATAGGTGAAATATAGTAATTTATAGGTGAATATTGAAATCTATAAGTAAATATTAAAATTTACCAGTGAAATTATGAAATTTATCAAAGAAATATTGAACTTTATCAGTGAAATATTGAAATTTATAGGTAAAATATTGAAATTCATAGGTGAAAAATTGAAATTTATAGATGAAATATTGGAATTTATGGGTGAAATATTAAAATTTTCAGTGAAATAAATTTGAATTTCATTTCAAAAAATTTCTACTATATTGAAAACTGGTTTAAAATCTGTAAACTGGAAGATAATAGTGAATAACAGATCAATCAATGAATAATTTTTAGATGTTTTATGTAACAGTGATCTCATATTACTAAGAGCTGTTTTGTGCAATTGTTGGCTGTGAAACACAGAATAAGATTAAATAAATATGTCACGTTTATTTCTTCCTCTCTTTTGCAAAAATAAAGGGTTAGTTTACAATTTAGGACCCCTTGCCCTACTTGTGAAATTAAGCTGATCACATCTCTAATTAAAACTTTCAAAACTTCAACAGCCAATTAGATGAGAGCATCAGCCAAGGGATAATTACATTTTATCACCCTTAGATTTCCAGAAGATACTAAACAAGTAAAATTGTCCATATAAGTATGTACACAATTAAGTAACAATTATTACAATTTTGTTGACATCTATTTACCCTTGGGCAGATAACCTTAGTGCATCTTATCAATGCTATTGAATAATAAACTGTTTACCATGAAAGATGACAGATATCCCATAAAAATTAATATGACCTTATTCCATCCAATAAAAACATCACTAAATGACCAAACCTTCAAAAGGTTTTATTTTGAAATGTCTCAAGTACATCTTGAGATTATCTGGTGCACATACATATACTTTGTTGATAATTTCAGCAATCTTTATACACCTGACAATCTTAACAATTTTTTGTTTTAAAAAAAATAAGAAACAACTTTCTTCTCATTAAATTCTGAAATGTATACTTTTATATTATCACAATGATATTACATTATTATAATTATTAACAGCATATTATAAAATATAGCTTTATATGACATTACATTTTAAAATAATACTTCCCATCTCATTTTGAAATATGGCTTTTTATCTCATTACATTCTTAAATGTAGTTTTTTATCTCTTTTAACATGCTAAAATATAGCTTTTAATATCATTATATTCTTAAATCTCTTAACATTTGTAAATGTAGCATTTTATCTCATTACATTCTAAAATGTAGCTTTTATCTCATTACATTCTGAAATGTAGCATTTTATCTCATTACATTCTAAAATGTAGCTTTTATCTCATTACATTCTGAAAAGTAGCATTTTATCTCATTACATTCTAAAATGTAGCTTTTATCTCATTACATTCTGAAATGTAGCATTTTATCTCATTACATTCTGAAATGTAGCATTTTATCTCATTACATTCTAAAATGTAGCATTTTATCCTATTACATTCTAAAATGTAGCATTTTATCTCATTACATTCTGAAATGTAGCTTTTATCTCATTACATTCTAAAATGTAGCATTTTATCTCATTACATTCTGAAATGTAGCATTTTATCTCATTACATTCTAAAATGTAGCATTTTATCTCATTACATTCTAAAATGTAGCATTTTATCTCATTACATTCTGAAATGTAGCTTTTATCTCATTACATTCTAAAATGTAGCATTTATCTCATTACATTCTGAAATGTAACATTTTATCTCATTACATTCTGAAATGTAGCTTTTATCTCATTACATTCTGAAATGTAGCTTTTATCTCATTACATTCGGAAATAAAGCTTTATATCTCATTACATTATGAAATGTAGCTTTTATCTGATTACATTCGGAAATAAAGCTTTATATCTCATTACATTATGAAATGAAGCTTTTATTTCTGAAATAAAGGATTTTTTTTTTATCTAATTACATATCTGAAACATAGCCTTTTACCTCATTACATTATAAAATATAGCTTTTTATCTGATTACATTCTAAAATTTTGCTCTGTAGCCTATCATATGAATACAAAAATTTATGATAGGCAAACAGTTCTGCCCCTTCATGAAAAGAATATTACATAACCACATTGCCCTGCAATGATTTCTCTTTTAAAATAATGTTTCATAGTTTTAAACTGTATGCAATACATAAAATGTTACTGACATAATATACCTTTTGATATCAAAAGCTTTTGCGAGTAGATTATTCAACATTTCAAATGATGTAATCTGCGGGTCGATGGAAAACTTTTTTGATTCAGGCTGCATCATACCATCGCATTTCTGAAAAATTGAAACAAAGAAATTATCTATCAAGTCTATCAACTTAGAGAAACTACAACTCAATCTGATATTTAAGTGTGAGAGAATCGGTTTCAATGAACAACGGGTAGATATTCTTATTTCTATATAATGACAGAATGTCATTTTAGATATTTTGATAACAAAAATATCTTCATCTGAAGAAACTATAATTGGTTGTTAACTATAGTTAAATGAATGTCCTTGAATGTTATGGATTTTGGACAAAAACATATGCAAATACTTTGAATTAAATTGGTATTTGAATGCCATATTGCATTATCTCATTGCTAGGAAATATATTACATTATCTCATTGCCAATGAGATAATGTATGATTGCCAGTAAATATCCTGCATTATCTCATTGCAAAGAAATATATTACAATATCTAATTGCCAGGAAATATATTGCAATATCTCATTGCAATGAAATGTATTGCAATATCTCATTGACAGGAATATCCTGCATAATCTCAATACAAGCAAATATTCTGCATTATCTCATTGCAAAAAAATAATCAGATATTTATAGTTAGAAATTACATTGTAACACCATATTGCCATAAACAGATATTGCAATATCTCATTGCCACAAAATATATTGAAATATCTCATTTCTAGGAAATATATTGCAATACCTCATTGCAATGAGGATATACAACTTTTTTGCAGTATCTCATTGCTAGGATATACATGTATAGTAAAAAATAAATTATCTCACTACTTCAATATATATTGAAATATTTTGTACACTTAAAGCACATACAAATGTGATACAATGTTAGCTTTTATTATGTAAAAACTCCATATTCACTCAGTCATTTCAATAGAACTTTCAATCGATATACTAAGTACTTATAGCGGAATTAAGAATATTTTGGGTTTTCCCAGCGGGGAGGGGGTATAAATATACTTTTACCATTACAGCTTAGGAAATAAGTGCAACAAGTTAACTAATCTAGACTAATCTATTGTACTATGAAGCTATAACAGAAAGTTTGTTTGTACCACAGGATTAGCTTCAAAAACCCTACTTTTGCCTTGTAGTAACTACCTTACTACATAACTTCATTTGTATTAACATAATAGTATTTAGCTAAGCATCACCTGAAAATGTGATATCAGAAGCTAAATGGAGGGCATTGAAAATTATTCCCATTTTGATAACCCCAACACCAACGCAATCCCCCCCCCCCCCCCCCCCACCTCAAGCCTTTGAGTTAACCTTTGGCTTCAGTCTATTGAGGTCTGACTGGTCGGTCATTATAACACTTTGAGATCCTTAGTGCTGTAGCTCAATTTTCTTCAAGATTTTACAATTGTGTTCATTTTCAAAGTGTGATCCTACAAAGCAAAATTACAAAATAATTGGCCTCACTTTGTACTTTTAATATTCAACTCTACGCTTAAGTACTATGACATCGTTAATTAGTGTAACTAAAGTACTATTAAACGACAAAGAACAGAGATAAATAAAAGTGTGTTTGTCAGCCGTTTCAAATCAACAGGAGTTGAATGTCCAACTTTGGCCTATTATCTACAGGCTATATAGCCAATCGACCCATTTGAAAAACCTTTTTCTGACATTGAACTTGAACTTGAATGATAATAATGATAATGATGTCCCGATAGTAGAGCAAGCTTCTGATGTTGTTATATAACTATGAAACAAACTTTATCCCCGTGAAAACAACACCATGTTATAAAAACAATGTTCTGAAACAAACTTTATCCCCGTGAAAACAACACCATGTTAATAAAAAACAATGTTCTTTACTATGCAAACATTGCTGTAAAAAAATGTACATGTAAATTTATACAATAATCAGCTCTTTTTTTGAAAAAAAAAAACAAAAGAAACAGTACAATTGAATATGTTCACGTAATTGTTTCTCTCTTTCTTTCTAAAAGGCGAATACTTGTGTGCATTCAACCCTTTATCCTACCCATGCCACCAGTGCAGCCAGCACATCTACCGTATGTTGTTTAATCATGCTCTGCACTGTTCTCTATTTAGTACTTCCTTTGAAATTTTCCTTTAAAAAAGTGAATGGTTTTGTAAGGATATTAAGGTGAGACAAGTCTTTTAACATATTTAGTGCTGTAAGTGTTATTAAATTAAATATTAGCCCAAATTAAATTAATTAACAATTTGAGTCTGTAATTTACAATTATAAGAACACTAAAGGTGCATGCCTTCAGATGAGCCAAAGTGTTTCAAGAAAATCAAACTTGAGAAAAATGCACAAAGTAAAATAGATTAAAGTTCCAGTAATAATTTACATGTAAAATGCGATTAACAACTGATTTTGCAGTATTTTTCACCATATTTCTACTGCATGTCTAACGCAGTAAGGGCTTTTGCATATTTTGATCTCTTTTTGGTAATTTACGTGGATTATAAGTGCCATTTTGCAATGTGAAAATTACTTTCTTTGTTTACATCACAACATCTCCTTTTAAATACATTGTACTACATTGTAACTCATCGGAAGCATTAAAATTCTATAAAATAATTCAATACTTTTTCCGACAGTGCTCTTCAATAGTTATAGACCTACATGTATGGTATGCCTTATGTTTTTGTCGTAATGACAATAATGTAAGTGCAGAATACCAATGACATATTAAAGCCATTTTCATATTTTTGAGAAAACTGCTGTGCTACTTAATTTAACCCCTGGAATTACATATATTAATATTCTTCGTATGACAAGCCTCAATTCATCACATTTTAAAACTTGACTTCATGTGCACACCCACAAAAACGCATACATACACACACACACACTTACACCACAAAATGCACATGAAGAAAACAAAAAATAAAAACACCCATCCTAAACAGAAGAAAAAAAAATATTGGGCCCAAATTGCTGCTAATTGTCCCCAATAAAACTTCCCCAAAAAAATAAACAAAGTATCAAAATAAGTATATATTTCTACACTATTTTTAATTACACCATTACCACGTCCTAACAACAAAAGGGGCATTGGTTCCCAGCATCATTGCATAATATATCAATTACGTATTTATAGAGATTGTTTTACTATATTGTCTGTATTTCGATATCAAACATACATTCAGGCATACATTTGTGCATTAACGTTCCTTTTTCTGAATGTAAAATCTATATGCATTTCTTGCTACACTTGGCTAAAGCCTATGCAATATTGTTTTCTTATACACATTGTTTAGCAAACACATAAAATTGTTTACTATATTAAGATAAAGTTACAAGTATAAGAATACAGCAAGATTAAATTCTGTAACAGAAATGTTCTTCAAAAGCTATGGTGCCTGATAGTAAAACAAGAGCCTGGATAATGTTTATTCTTTCAAAATCCAATGTTGTTACAGTGTTACAGTTATGGAACTTGGACAGTCAGCTCCTATTATGTTCTCATATAATTGTGTTAAGTTTCAATCCATTCCCTGCATCAATTTTGGAGATTATAACCAACTTGCAAGCAAAACTTAACCAAGGTATGATGCCAAAGGAATACAATAGCCCTCCATGTTCTTCGAATAGTCGAGCTAAAAACTATAATTATTATGCCACCCTTTGGGGTGAACTTTCAAATAATATCCAATCACAAAATAGTTTTAACCATACTTTATTTATTTTTCATAAACATTAGACAAACCAGTGTGTGCACACCTATTATATCAAAGACATACATGTAGGCATATACATTTTGTCACCTTAGTCCAATAACAAATTAAGTCCTTCTGAATTTAATAGGAGTTAACCAGTTATTGCACTAAGGTGATGACCATTTGTGTACCATTGTAAAGCCTTTCTTTTGGTCAAGTTAAAGAAAAACAAAAATTACATGGACATTATCAAAGATTCTGGGAGATTAACAAAATCAAAGCTAAATTTATATCAAAATGATAAAAAAAAATGTATGTGAACTGAATCAAAATTGCCTTAGTAATTCTATTCTATGTCACAAGTACATGTACACTCTCAATGATGGAGTTTTACTTTTATCATTTATGTCACCTATACTTTCCAGTTATCTTACTTCACGTCATTTAAACTTTTTGCAAATGAAAACTGATAAAGATTTCCCTTATTTACCTGAGATAAACCTTTAACTATGTCGTTTAATGTAAGTTTAATCAGTTCAATGAAAACAAACGCTTTTCTCTAGCTTTCGACGTTTTTTAGTCTTCTTCAGAAAAAAAATGATTTTTTATCTTTTTATTCTTTTATTTCATATATGTAAAATTTTCATTTAAATCATGTACTACTAAATCATTTAATTTCTCCTAAGAAACAACCTACTTTGCAAAATACTGACAAAAAAAGATACATGCAAAATAGGATTTTAATAATTTACGTGAATTTAACTTTCTTAAGAAAAGATCTATAGAAAAAAATAAACCTAATTTAAGTTATATGAAATTTATATATCAGAAGATACAGTACATACAACAAAGCCTAATAAGAAATCAAACATTTTCATGAGTATTTCGGACCACACATGTATCTAATCTATCAATTATCACATTTTCTATTTTTAAAGGGACTCCACTGAGGTTTTTTGACATGACAGAACTGGAAACATTTTTTTCTAGATTAATGTTCCTTTTGATGAAGGTCACAGCTGACCAATAACTACTAAGTGTCTTTCATGTCTTTCAGATCATTCGCATACTCCATTTTCATTTTTCCAGAATAGTTAATCTGACTGTGAAAATATTAAACCCAAAATTGAAAATCATTGTGACACTTTTCACTCAAATCGGGGTAAGAATAGCACAAAATGCTATTTAATCAATTATTTCTTTTTATAATTCTTAGTAATTTAATCTAAGTAATTCTTTATGATTTAGGCTTTTTGGACTTTAGTGGAGTTCCTTTAACATTGTCAATTTATTGAGTAGAATTCAGTGTTAATACATGGTCAATCCATATTAGAATAAACCAGGTTTAAAAATATCCACAGATAATTTTGAAACTGAGAAATCTTGGAAAGAAATGTCCTATTATAAAGTAAACAATATGTTTCTTTTGATCAAAGTCTTCAAACTGATCCTTCTGTCCGTCTGTCTGTTTTTCAGATCAAATATTACCACTAACAACTTCAATGATCCAGAGTTAACCACTAGTGTCCACTTGGGAGTAATGACCTCGACAGCCTTATTAAACCAGTTAAAACCACTGTCTTCAATATAACTATATGTAACTTTTTCTTTAGGCTGCTGTAAAAATCAGATTTGCTTTAGATAACCTTTGACCATTTTTTATCAAGGCCATGAAATGTCTCATGAAAATCATGCCTGTTCTTTATAACCCACGAGTGTTTAATACAGTATCCACGTGACCTGACAGGGACAACAGAGTGTACCTACTATTCATGATGATATGATAACTGATAACAGTCATGAAATTTAAGGCCATGCAAAAAAATTCAAATTGCTTTATATAGTACAATAACATAATAACTCCTTCACTGCTAAATTTATATAATATACTTGTACATGTCCTGCTTTTGAATTTGAAACAGTCCATGCCTTGTTAATATTAAGGTCAAGTTCTGTTAACAAAATGCGAAATGAAGCAAGCAACTGTATAGTGGCTCAGGTCAGACTAAATGGTTGTGCAAACCTTTTACTGCTAAGTAATAAATACAAATACACAACCCTGAAACTGAAAGTTTACTCTGGTAAAAATTAGTTAACTTTTTACCCTTCAGAATAATACAGTATTGGTTACATTTATTTTGACAAGTGCTGCCTTTTGGTTTTCTGCTGCTGTTTTTTCTGATTTTATATTTTTGTGCCCCAACTTAAGGGGGGGGGGCATTTAGATTTACTCTTGTCCGTCTGTCCGTCCTTCCGTCCATTCCCTTTTTGTGTCGCACGTAACTCAAAAAGTAATTGACCTAGAGTCATGAAACCTTACAGGAATGTTGATCAGCATGTGAAGTTGTGCACCTGGGTATTTTCATGTGGATATATTTAGTATTTTTAGAGTTATTGCCCTTGAATTAGTAAAAATTTCCAATTTTCAACTTGTGTCGCACGTAACTCAAAAAGTATTTGATCTAGTCATGAAACCTTACAGAAATGTTGATCATTGAGAATTGTTATTACGGGGAAGTCAAAGACCTGGCCCGCGAAGGAGTCCGGGCTTTGGCTTGCCCGGCTATAGACTACAAGTGTATATTTAAAAGAAAATCAAATAAAAAAAACAATTAAAAAATATATAGAATTCTATACCTATCAATGAAATTTTCAGTGTCAGTTCTAGTCGGGTGCCGCCATTTACAATGTAACTCATTGATAATAGGCGGGGTATTCCGATAACGGAACAAATCTCAACATTTCGGATAAATAATAATCGCCGAGTGTTCCGAGTGAAAACGGAAGCGATGCATTAAATACCGAAAGACACCTTTAAAACGGAAAGAATGAAAATAAATTTTTTAACGACTTCCCCGTTCATAGGCTTTGCCTTAATTCATATTATTTCATGCCACACACTGAAGCCATACAATATTCCTGCATTCAATTGCTGTAATCTTTGCATTTTGACCAAAGAAAAACATGCAAATAGGAAGTCAAAATGTTACATGCGTATTCAAGCTTATGTGGCAAATGTCGCATTTTATAAATTTGACTTAATTTGACACTACGATCAGTATCTTTTCTAAATTTGTCTGCAATACGGGTGTTATCCGGGTAATACTACACTTGGTACTTACTTTGACATGCACCCTGATCACTTCCCGATTATTATCTATACCGTAGAATCCAGACATAATTGCAAAATTTATATATCTGTTTAAATATTTAAGTAAATTAGAATAACAGTGGAATGAAAATTCATTTTATGGAAACAAAATTAGACGTCATAAATCGATGCAATCTTTCAGCGATGAAAACTAAACACTTCCGCACATAAGGCATCGGATAAATAATTACTAACATAAGGTTGACTGTGTAAAAGGTCAAACATCCAAAATATCTATGAGTCAGTTCTCGGACAGAACCTTTAATCATTTTTCTAAAGAAAAAACACATTGACAAACAGATAGAGAAAGTAATGTATACAAGGTCAATTGGTAGATGGGTATTTACCTCACCAAAAATAACAATAATAATCAGGGGAGGGCCGATCGCTAATGTCGTAAGAACTTGGGCCCAATCCTTTTGCTATTTGTTATTTCGAAATCAATTTGTTTCTTTGTATATTCACGGATTTATATTATAAATCCGTGGTATATATTAGCAATAAAATATGATTAAACCTAAAATCTAAACCTAAAGCAAAAATATCGTAAAATCAAATCAAAATTTATTTATTGTCGGTAAACATATATAACATTTTACATCTGGACATAAAAAGTTTCCTTCTAGTGCATTATTCTTTAATTACTTCATTTACATGTTAAAATATTTTATTAGCAATTAAAAATGAACGCATTCGCTTAATTTAGATACTATCCCTTTCTTGGCATTGTTAAACTTGTTGTTTATTCATGCATTTGTATACAGTACATCAGAGATGTACATAGATAACATTACTTTTAGCAAATTGACACAAACAGTATATGTGGTTTATTGTATTGTATGAAAGGAAATTTTGCAAGGATTCAATATTTACTTTGCAAGTTTACTGTTTTTACCGTATACTGTCCTATATATACATGTATCATGCGTCAATTATGCAGTTAAGTATGAAATATAAAATTCTGAAATGGAAATCAACGTTCAAAACTATTTTGGATTATTTACAATATTGTTTGTTTGCTTGGTTTTTCCCACATTAATGTCAAAACATTGTTGGGAATCCAAATATCGCTTGCTTAAAAAGCTATGATGATCAGAGTCACAATATTTTTCCTCATAAAGTTTTCATATTCAACATGAATTTTTATTATAAACTTGAAATGACTTAAATGACATATTTCAATAAAAAGTAATCACGATTACTTTATATCATATGTGCCTTTAAAAGTTTGACTTGATTTTATTCTAAAATTAATCCTAACATCGGATCAATTATTATTTTACTTGTGTTCAATATTAGGCTTGTTTCTTTTCAAATCAGCATTTTTTTGCACATTTTGTTCAGGTTTAATACTATTTTAATTTTATCAATGAGTCACAGGTTGATTTATTTGTTACGTTAAGTGTTCATTTTGCCGTGCGCTGTTTGTCAATTAGACGCGGGAAAATTATACTTTATTAATGTCCGCGCATGCGTCAATTGTCGTCTGTGTCTTATCGTCTGCTATTGTATTTTAACGGATAGTTTCGTAACGTACGCTTATAAGTGGAAATGCACGGATACATCCGAGACAATTCAGATACGTTTGTATCTTGTGCATTTATGTTAACTCCTTCTGTATCGTGTTGTACGTTGTATGAAAGAACGAATTTTCTTGTAATTAAAGCTGTGATGAAAGGGATCTTTACATTGCGTTCTTCCAAATTCCCGCGACCTATCTTTCTCCAGATATTACTTATTCTTTATTCTCTCGCAAGTATAGATACATAAATTCTAGTTACATAAATTTCTATACGTTTACTTGATAGAATTTTAGATAAGAAATATAACTTATTATCTCTGACAGAAGAACTTATTGTTAAAGGCGAATGGAGGTCTATAATTTATATTCCGTTACAAAAGCTGCTTATCAGAAGAAGTGAAGATACACTTGTATCATTTCCTTTTTGAGCCACTTTGATTATACTTTATCTTCTTTGTATGAATGACTGAATAACTCACATAAGCAAAACTACAAGGAGTTCAAATTAAAGGGGTACGTTCCATGAATAAAACCCAATAGTGACATATATAATGCAAGGGGAGCGGTGGCCTAGTGGTTAAGGTGTCTGCCTCTCAACCCTTCGAGCCCTACTCGGGTTACGACCATGGTTCTTCATATGACACCAGTACTGGTTGGTTCCAGGAAGCGGACTCGAAAGTGATTAATATAAGTTGCAAGAACTTGTTTCGAAATCGAGCTTAAATAAATATGTTTAAACCAATATAATGCTCTTTCTGATCTTTAAGTATTGAATGTCAAAGATAGAGTTAGGCAGTTCAGACTTGCAACATGCATAAATTTTGTATAACAAAGTCCCGTCTTAAGTGTGATTTATTTACGATATGTAAATTTACAAAATTGCCACAATGTTGCACTTACATTTTTGTCTACGCCGCAAGAGATTGTTATTCTTCACCAGACAACATTAAACCAATATATAAAATATAGAGAATGGTAAAAATGTGAATTGTTTGTAAATCTTTGGATTCAGGCGTTGATATCATTGCTAATTCATAACATACACGCTATTTCATAATTGTTCGTGATTTGCCGAATATAAAAATCGACAGACTGGAACCCAGGCTATATTACGAAATAAGTTTTTGTGTGGAAATTCATTACATTCTTATGATAGAATATTTCTAAATGTTATACAAATGTACAATCACATGTGACAATGCATTTTATCTCCGGCCCAAAATACATAGTATACATACAACAATTTTGTAATATGGTTGCGTCACCTTAACAATGTTTATAAATGTGAACAAAGACTAGTTGTTTATGTTATCCATTAAAACATATACATAAAACATAAGCTTCCTTAATGTGGTTGTATCACGTGTACTTATTAATACATAAAAACCATGTAGTTCTTTTCCGCCAAAATACCAATTGAATAAATAATTATCACGGATTTGTTTGTATTTTTTACATATAAAGAAAGCATGGAATTCACAATCTATACTATCATTACAAGTTGTACACAAATGTTCTTCCCTTTGGGATATTATTATGCCTGCCTATTTCTATACCTAATTTATGGTTGGAGCAACGAAAATTACAAAACGCTTTTTTATGTTTAAATGGTATTTCTATTAATAAGTATCGTTCAACATTTAAAAGTGATTTAAATTTATTGACTAGAATTCGTTATATTTTCATACCATTGTTGAGTACAACAATCAATAAGTGAGTGTTGTACAATTGTTTGAAAAAAAAAAATTCATTTATTTTAGTTCTTACATCTATAATTCTATTTAGTGTTTCATAAGCATGTAATTTCATAACAGGATTACCTCCTGTTCTATCAAGAGTATTTTGTTGAATTGCTTATCAGTAGAAAAGAATGGGGAAAAAATTATATGTTTCAATACTGATATTTTTCTTTACTCTAATAACGGCTTCAATTACTGTTGTGTTCTGACCTATAGTTCTAATGTATGTTTATAGTTTACATTTCATAACACATCAATAAATCAATAAAAAAGAGAGTTATTTATTTAACTAATTGACAAACTACATGTGTACGTTTTTAAAGTGAACTGTGTAATTATAAGCTGTTTTTATATTATTTATTTAGATACCAAAATAAAGATGAAAAAATAGCATCCTTATAATAATGGCTTTGCTCTAACAATAGTGAAAAGAGTTCCTTAAATGAAGATGTTTTGATGCTATACCTTTTCATATTCTCATTTAAAGCCAATCATCGTTTTCACTCTGTTGCTCTACACTACCAAGTGAAAGGTAGTGGAGCGTCAGTTAGGATATGATTTTAGTGTGATTGACCATTTCCATACCAAAATGCGTATGAATTGCATGCATGAATTGAACAAACTGCACCCCACACACACACACACCACAAAGAATATATTTTGATGAAACAGACAGCAAAGCTTATTTTGTAAACATTACAGTTCATTAACATTCACAAATGAACTAAATACAAATCAAATTCCCTGAATATTATAGTCAAATTGTAATATTAAAGATGCATGAATGATTTCAACATTTATTCAGTACCGTAGAAATGGTAATAAATGTAATAAAAAATTGAAATTATATGTTAATGTATTGTGTATAAAATGATGATTGAATCCAAATGAGATATTAAGATAAGTTCAATTAATTACGTCATTCCTGCTACAAATTGTGTGACCAAATAGTATATGTGCTTATGCATAATTCCATGATATTCAATGGTGTTACTGACTGAAAAAATGTTTGACAAGGCCTTTCAAATAGAACTTCTATTTGAAAGACCCTGCTTAAAATAAATGTGTCATTCCAGCATTATTATGTACAAGTAAAATAATCCAGTCGAACTTCCGACTTATCGTCTACGTGTGTCCCATTTTCCGTCTTACAGATTCGTGATTTGTGCTATTTTAGTCTATACCGTTAAAACCCAAATTATTCGGAAATGTTTTGTTTTTTAGGTTGAAATGTAAACAAAAATGGAGGAGGAAAGTGAAGAAAATTTGACGTTAGCCCCAGATTCCCCCAAATCCCCTACTGTCTTACCATGGGATAGATTTTCTAATTGGCTTCATTGTGCCTGTGTCGTTACTTTTGATTTAGAATTAGGCCAAGCCATGGAGGTCAGTGAAATGGAAATCTTTTGTGTCTGTGAATTTGTAAACAAAATTATTTTTAACAGTGTTTTAACAAAGCCCCACAGTAACTTCGTTGCTTTGCCGTTGTTTACCCCCAGCAACTTTTGTCACTAGTTGAATATTTGTCTCAATCTTCAACACCTACACTTTAAAAAGAAATCCCATTCACCCGTCAACAGATCAAGTGGCAAGTCTTTTATGAACAGGCACAAAATTGTAATTCATATGGCACGTAGCCCAAGATTGGTAAAGGGTCAACACGGCCATATTCCAACTCGTCATAGGTCAACGTTGCACTCTATCAAAAACTTAAAAGGATATAGTCATATAGATTCTCTAGTTAATGGCAAATAACCGTAATTAGACAAATTTAGAGAAACTCAAAAATTTTCCATAAAATTTAATAAATATGAAATAAAGACTACAGCATATTGGTTGGAATATGACCTGACTACTCCTGTTATACCTCTTATGAAATTTCAATAAAACTACAGGATTGATCAGTAGCTCAAAATCTTGTGCACAGGTCTTTAGGTTGAATGATTTTTGTTGAGTTATGGCCATCAGGAGACGACACATGTGATCACTGTCACTCACTGATCACTCTTGTTTAAGTACAAATGTTGCAAGTTTGTAAGCAGAAATCTGATCTCATTAATCAGAGGAGAGAGTTATGACCAATCGGATGTCTGGATATGAGCATTCACATTTTGCATTTGAAATGTTTGATGATTTATTGTTGTTTTAATATTAATAAGAAGAAAAAAATTAGGGTTTGATGTTGTTAAACTATACAAAGAATAATTTGCATATAGAACTTTTATGAATACAACTTTCTATATATTATCATTACAGATTATCTACCCCAGCCATATAAGGATGACAGAGAAAGAAGTAAAGATTTTTACTTATTTTTAAAGTTTGACTGTTGTGTAAATTTTGTTTGAAACATCTGGTTTTTTGCCGAAATAGAATTGAATTTTTTATCACTGATAAGTGGTAGCCTAAGTGTTCATATAAAAACACAAACTTTGATAATGCCCAAGGTTGCTTCTATATAATATCTGTTAAAGAGATAACTTAATAAAATCATATAAAATTTATATTGATTTGGTGGTCTATTAATCCATAAATGGTATATTAATATTAATTATTATTATATGTTAAGAATATTGAATTGAAATAAGATCAAATGCATATTTCCATTTATTTTTTTTTCAATTTGATAATTTAGAATTATATGATTTGCTACTTTTTATTTTACAGAAGATGAATATTTGCTACCTGTCATTTCCAGATTCTAATTCAGGTAAATATAGAATTATTCCTCAACACGTTTTCATTGGTGTATCATTCACAGAGATTAAAGCATGCACTTATCAAATTTATTATACATATCCTTCATTGTTTTCAGCTGCTCACTAAATTTACTGAATGTAAACAGATTTTTTTTCAGGTTTTAAGTGTGCTGTACATCTCTTTGCAAGCATAGCCCACAGCTTTTTGTTAAGAGAAAGTAAAGTTTTCTTCTTAAAAAGGGGAAAAACACACGTATTGTCGCTAGGAACACCCCAAAATTGGTTGTCAAAATAGCCAAAAATACTTTAATATCTTTCATTTATGAAAGGCATATGTACCGTATTTAAGTAATAGTAAAATATAAAATTTATCATTCACTAACAGTAGTATTAGTATATTTTTATGTTATTTGCAGGTTGTATGGGTGATACTCAGTTCCATTTCCGTATTAGACAGTGTCCCGGAAGAAAATACATCAACAAGTCCCATATAGAATATAATAAAGATTGTCCCATACAGCTCAAGGTTGGTATAAATATATTTGTAACATATAACAATACATATATAACAAAAGATACATTGAAACTCTTTTTAGAAATACTACAATTTTAAAACTCCTGTATACATATCATTTATCTTAAGTTTCAGGCAAAAACTATAATGATTAACAAGATTTGCAGACATGCTCTGTTAAGTCTACTCTTGTTCAAATATATCCTCTAAATTGTTGATATGATGTAGCAACTGATGTATGATATATAATCAAAATTGTTTTGTTACCTGTATTGTTTCATAACTTAAATTGTCTTGCAGGGATGTTTTTTGGCTTACTTTATAGCCAATATTCTGCCATATTCACAACTGAAAATAGTGTATTATTTTCCCAATCCACAGGAAAATATTCCAAATTGAAAGTTATAGAATAAAACTATTGAATAAAAAAACTCTAAAATCTTTGAAAATAAAGGCTTCTTCATGGTTAGAGTGCACATATGTTTGAAGATGCCATCCTAGACAGTGATTGTTTACATGCATTAATCACTGCAAAATTCAGGTCATGCATTTTTTTCCCAATTTTTAACAAAATTATTGCTAAAATTCCAGATTTCATGGGTATGGGTCATGTTCCCAAAATCATGGGAAAAAGTCATGCTACCTAAAAAAATTTTAAACCAAAATTGTTTCTTTTCTTTAATTGTTTCATTACCTAAATTGTTTTGAAACCTAGTTTGTTTTGTTACCTGTAAATTCTTTTGTTACCGTTACAGAGCGATGAAGCACATTATTACGGCTTTGTTTATTTTCGGCAGACAAAAGACAGATCTATACGTAGAGGATATTTTCAAAAGGTAAAATTAGTGATTATTTCAAAAAGTATGATTGTAAGATTCAGGTAATAATATCTTTTATTCCTCCAATATTGAAAAGCATAATACATGTAACAAATTATAATATTTTACAGACAGTAAATAGAGATATATGTACAGATCAATCAGAATCAAAATAGCAAATGCGTCCTTAAGAATCTCACAGTCGTCTAAACAAAGAAATGAAGATCGAAAATGTCAGACAAAAGCGTTATTCATAGTAAATTAAGTATAAACAACTGACAAAAAACAATGTCCACTGGTTCAAAATTAACTAGATATGAAAACGAAAGGCTAGTCAATTTACAATGGAATTTGTTCCTGCATATTTAAGTATAATTAAGTTATAAAGCTATAAATAGAAACTATGACGAAAATACATAGCTACATTACATATGTAATTTGAATATTTAAAAGTATCTGATATAAAGTGAGTTTGTTCTATATCACACTAATCGAACATTTTGCAAACACATATAGTATAATGTATATGTTTAAACATATCCCCATCAATTGTAACAGCTAATCTTAGCAAATAATCACACTGTTCAGACGGTGTTAACAGAACGAATGAGATGTAATCACAGTGACCATTAATTTCTATCATCAAATTCCACAAACGTTCACGTAAGATAACACTCATATCATGGTTTGCTCAAATAAAGAGGTACATGTATAAAAGAAGATTAGTTAGTGACATGGCCAAGTCAATAACATTGTTGTTTTAAGAATGAATGGCTGCTATAGTTCAAACACACTCAGAGACAAGTTGTTGTTTCCTTTAGCAAGAAACTTTACACTAATTGCTCACTCATGGTTGGTTCCAGGAATGAATTGAGTCAACAAGCTTATCATTTCGTACACAAACTAAAATAATTGAACTATGTAAACTGAGAATGATTGTTTGCATTAAGATAAAATGTAATTGTGTTTAAATCTAACGTTTTTGTTTTTATCTATTTCAGTCTGTTGTTTTAATTTCCCGATTGCCGTTTGTAGCTTTGTTCTCTCAACTAGTCAACATTATTGCCCCGGAATATTTTGATAATGGTGAACCCAGTCTGGAAGCAGGTATTTTTAACCAAAAAGTTTTTTTCCCCTACTTTATAGGCAATATAGTTTTGTATTGTTTTTTAATAAAGGCAGTTGGCAATATAGTTTGTTATTTTTTTTTGCAGAGGCAGTGAAAAAAGCAAGCCAATTTACCAAATTTTAATATGTACATGTAACAAGACTGGTTTGTTTATGAGTGCCTAGATACATTTCATGATTATGTACAGAACTGGTATTATTCAATTCTTTTTATGTATAAGTAGAGAAAGAACAGTTTCAAATATTATTTGTTTTTTGGCAGATTGGTATATTCTATAATTATGCTGTACAGGGCTATTTTTTAAACCTCAAAAATGCAGAGTTGTTAGTGGATGCGAAATGGGGTTTGTTTGTGTCCTGAGGGCATATAGTGATTGTACTCTGTGCTGATATGTAAATAATGTTTGACTACATGTGGATACTTTGACTACTTGACTGTTACTGTTGAGTTCTGTCTTAATTAAAATATTTATACTTTCATGCTGAGTTAAGCTTAGACCTGAAACAGTGTAAACATAAACTTAAATCTTAACATTTTAGCCCAGTAAAATCTATCCATACTGCTGGTGCAGGCAAAAATTAGCATACATGGCATCTGGTTTTGTTTGCACAGTAAGCTACATTTGTATTCAGGCAGTACTTGTTATGAAATTTTTCCTAAAAGGAAAGATTGGATTTCTTGAAATATTTTGGCTCATCTGGAGGCATGCAGCTTTAAAGCAAATAAGTTTCTTAATAAGGCTCATATAATTATTAAAACATAACTGTTAACCCAGATATAAGTTCTTTTTGTGTCTTCATTACAGCTTGTCATGATATAGACCAGTGGGGACCCCCAGTTCCAGGGGAAACAATGAATTTACCAATATTTGGTACAGTTCTGCAGGTATTCTTTCTTTACTTCAAGCTTTCTTTTGTTTGGCTCATTAGAAAAATGTATAGAGACTTTTTAGAAGTTTTTTTTTTTAATCAGGGCTTTATATGTTGTGTTAAGATACCTTGTGGTAAACTTTTGATACATTAATTCTTTGGTTGCCTAGAGATGGCAATGGCATACCTATGCCACCTAACCTGCTAGCGGCAAATGATTCTGCGCATGCAACCAGTGCAGACCAAGATCATCAGGTACCCCCTTGCTCTGTCCGAACATGGTCTGCACTGTTCACTATTTAGTCAATAAGTGATATTGAAAATCTCCCCTAAAAATGAAGAATTCATGATTTTGTCCAGATTAAATAATGGAAAAGTCCATTTAAGATATATAGGGTGGTCAGGGTTAAAATGGCCTAAATATGGTGCATGACTACAAAGACAAGAAAACTGTTTTATAAAAGTCTCTATACTTTTTCTTATGTCCTTAAATATAGTTCCTGTGGGCATGGTGTATTGTATGGTCAGTCTTTTTCTTATTTCTATATTTATCTCCATTGATATTATTTAATTCCTTTAATAAAATGAACCGGATATTGGACATGCTTATTGTATGTTTGTCATTTTCATTGAATGATAAGGTTACCAAAGCTTGATTATGGGAAGATTGGTGGTTTCCACATGCCAGCTTGTGCATGGTATAATGTATGAAAGGACACCAAAGATCTATTGATGTTGGTCTCCTTGGTAACCTTTGGCAATAATTTTATGAAATCTTCAGATATTTTGCTATTTTTGTGCTATAGGAACTGGTGATTGTTTTAAAACATGTTGCCAGTGTTTCCTTCCACCTATAATACTAAAAATTTACAATTTGACCTGTACATCGATGATGTGACCTAAAAGCTGACCAAATAATAAATTAATAATAGGATTTTAGTTTCCTTGATTAGAATCTTTAAAGAATTTCTTTTGTGATATATCACAATCTATTTTTGAAAATTTATTTCAAGTTAGGGCAAAAATTGAAGGACTACTGAATATTCAATTTTTATGGTGACAAATAATTAAGTTACCAGTAGTTGTAAATCCTTTGTTTAATGCCCATGTCTTGATATAAATAAATTAATTATGTTTTTGTCTGGTATATCTGTCATTTTGTCCCTGAGGATAAGTTTGACCTTTGACCTTAACATCTTTATTCTAGAAGCTAAAGCCTTCATGCTTGGTTTCAATATACCATGGGATGAGACATTTATTTTCTATTTTAAAATATGACCTCGATTCCTAAATAACCTTGACCTTAAGGTCGATTGTCCAAAGAATCATGAAATTTCAACTTGGCTTTGTGTTTTGCAAACATATATTGTTTTACTTTCTTTTTCCTTGTCTTATTGGTGTTGTACATTTGAAAGGGAAGATTTTCTTTTTAAGTGTTTGATGTAAAAAATATTTTGTTAAGTTTAGATATTTATTTTTGTAGATGGGCATTTTATTTCTTACTTTTAAGTGTAGTTTTGAATTTGTGTTGCTATTTTTGTTGTTTAGGTCAGAATTCCGTCCCGCAGTGATAAATTAGTCGGTACTCAGCAACCTAGATCTCAAGCTGCGGTAAGTTGTACGAAAACCAAAGATGTTTCTTCTGTCAGTTGGATCTTTCCCAAATTTCGCGAGCATGTTTTCATAGGACATTTTTAAATGCAATGATTGTTAGAGATTTCTTTCTCACTTTTTAATTGAATAAAAGGGGGAGCTTTTCTTCTCATCTGGGTGTTGGTATCTTCACCCCACTTTGATTAGGTTTATGAACTTTGGAACTTTTTTATTAAACCTGTTAAGGTACAGTTTTTCTATTACTTTTCAAACTTGGAATACTTGTTTTATTAAGATAAAAGCATGACTTTTCAATAGCACTAATTCTGTTGGGTAAGGGTTAAAAAAATAGTTTTATAATTGTATATAGTTTATTTCTTTATTATAATTGTGTTAATGTTTTGAGTGTTGATTTCTTAGGTTATGGAAAAATGACGTCTTAAAATTATATGCTTTGAAGGTGTTGGGTTTTGTATGGATTAAATTGAGATAAAACAAGATACACACAAATAGCATAGATTCGAGGAAGGTGTTCTTGATATAGAAATTAGAAGAAGTAATACTATGCATATAGGTGCTGACAATTGATCTATGACATTGAATCAAATGGTCAATTGTCTCTTACCGCTGAAATCAGAAATCATGCAGGATTAGCAGTTGGTCACTTGTCGAGAAAAATTGGTATTTGCTAGTTACTGTAGTAATCCAGAAAAGCCGATTAGGTCGATCTGTCGCTGAGAAATGACTACAAATATGTGCTAAAGTTGGCTTATGAAACCAACAGAAAATCAAAATAAAGAGAATATGGACAAGACCCTTATCATTTTCAACATGTCATCTGGAAACATGAGCAATTGTTTTTCTTATATTTCTTTTAATTTATTGTATTTTCATGTATGTTATTTCTTGAGTAAATGTTGTTTTCTTTGATTATTTGGATGAATGCTACAATTTTGCTGTTATTTTTCTTTTGTCAGTATTTATTAAGGGATTAGGGTATATTTTCCACTTTTACAAAAAAAATGTGTAATATATTTGGATAGAAGAGAAATATTGTTCTTAGAGCAGCTATTCCTACACTTCCCATTGGATTTCAACCAAATTTTCCAGTGTCCTGACTGAGTTTTGCGATTAAGTAATTTTTAGGGAAATTATTGCCCTTTTCTTTTTTTTTCTGTCTTTTTTTTTCCTGTGAGCTACCTAGTGCCATTATAACTGCCTTGTTTATATAGTGACAGTGAATTAACATGTATAATTTGATTAATTATCTTTTATGAATGTCAAAAAAAAATAAGAATTATTAGTGCATTTTATTCTTTATTAATTTCAGCCTATACTTCCAGCTCAAAGTATATTACCCTCTTTATTTGAAGTTGATATCTACAGTGCATTTCAAAGTATTTTACCTCATGTACAGATGTTATGGGAGCTCACCCTGACAGGGGAGGTAAGTGAATCAATTCATATCGCTCACATTTTGTGGGCACTCTCATAAAGATGGTAAGAATGCTACAAAAATACAAAGTATATTGCCTAATATACAGATCCTATTGGAGCTCACCCTTTTATGGAGGTCACTTTTGTAGGTGAGGTCACTCTTGTAGGGAGGTAAGTGATGTACAGAAATCAATGTATATTGCCTCCTTTAAATGATTATCTAAGGTCATTCTTATGTAGAAGGTAAGAGATCTGTACCACAGACTTACATCATTTCTAACACACTTCACACTATTCCCCTATCAGATAGATAGGACAATTGAGTGCATTATTACATGATATATGCACAGCATAAAACAAGAAATTAATTGAGTGCATTATTACACGATAAATGCACAGCATAAAAAAAATCATTTGAGGGCATTATTACACGATATATGCACAGCATAAAAAAGAAATCAGTTGAGTGCATTATTAGACGATATATGCACAGCATAAAAAAAATCAATTGAGGGCATTATTACACGATATAATTATGCACAGCATAAAACAAGAAATCAATTGAGTGCATTATTACACGATATATGCACAGCATAAAAAAGAAATCAATTGAGTGCATTATTACACGATATATGCACAGCATAAAAAAGAAATCAATTGAGTGCATTATTACACGATAAATGCACAGCATAAAAAATCATTTGAGGGCATTATTACACGATATATGCACAGCATAAAAAAGAAATCAGTTGAGTGCATTATTAGACGATATATGCACAGCATAAAAAATCAATTGAGGGCATTATTACACGATATATGCACAGCATAAAAAAAGAAATCAATTGAGTGCATTATTACACGATATATGCACAGCATAAAAAAGAAATCAGTTGAGTGCATTATTACACAATATTTATACAGCATAAAAAAAAGAAATCAATTGAGTGCATTATTACACGATGTATGCACAGCATAAAAAAGAAATCAATTGAGTGCATTATTAAACAATATATATACAGCATAAAAAAAAAGAAATCAATTGAGTGCATTATTAAACAATATATATACAGCATAAAAAAAAAGAAATCAATTGAGTGCATTATTACACGATGTATGCACAGCATAAAACAAGAAATCAATTGAGTGCATTATTACACGATATATGCACAGCATAAAAAAGAAATCAATTGAGTGCATTATTAAACAATATATATACAGCATAAAAAAAAAGAAATCAATTGAGTGCATTATTAAACAATATATATACAGCATAAAAAAAAAGAAATCAATTGAGTGCATTATTACACGATGTATGCACAGCATAAAAAAGGAATGCTTATACATCATATGAAGTCAAATATGACGTCAACAAACCAAATGACTGGGGGAAAATTACTTCTATGCTCAATGTAGTTTCACAAACGGTACTTTTATCAATTCTCTTTCTTACTAGCGTGTTAGATAGGAAATAGATATTAATTTTTCTTGCATTGTAGTATAATAATGCACAGTTTATCATCTAAATGCAAATGTAATTAATTATATTCCTAAGCATTTGAACTAAAAACATGCATTATTCAACAACAATGCACTTAAAATTGATATCTATTTGCTACGTATACCACTATACCATTGGTTATTCATGAAGTATACCACTGATTATTCATCAAGTTCTTGTATACCAATTCACAATTCATCATGTATAGTGCATAAAGTACACATTGGCTTTCCATACTGAAAATATTGATATGTTTATTTGAGTTGATGTTAAACATTTTCACAGTACAGAAATAGGTATTGTATGTCAATACCCAGTTTGTATGTGTTGATGTAAATTTGATTGATCATTATATTTCAGCCCCTGGTTGTCATGGCAGCTGCACCATCTGTCACATCAAATACAGTGCAATCTCTTGTCAGGTTAGTACATTGTACAGTCAAACCTTAACCTGCTGCATCTGTGTGAATCTGTGTAAAAGATTAATCTTTATTTTAGTCAGGAACAGTCTGTTTAAAGCTGCACGCCTGCAGATGAAGCAAAATTATTTCAAGAAAATTTGAGAAAAAAAGTACTGAGATTTTAAGAAAAGTAAAAAGATTCAAGTCAAAAGTAATACCTTCATGTTGTATGCGATTTTTTACTGATTTTAAAGTATTTTTTACCATAGTAGTATTCTACTGCACTACTTATGCAGTATGGGCTATTTTTAGCTCACCTGACCACGAAGTGGTCATGGTGAGGTATAGTGATGGGGCTATGTCCGGCGTCCGTCGTCGTGCGTTGTGCGTCGTGCGTTGTGCGTCGTTCGTCGTCAACAATTGGGTTGTTAACAGTCTAGCAGTCACAGTTTTGATTGGATCATCATCAAACTTTGTCAGAATGTTTGTCTCAATGAAATACAGATCGAGTTCGAAGATGGGTTATCTCAGGTCAAAAACTAGGTCACAGGAGCTAAAAATAGAAAAAGCTTGTTAACACTCTAAGAGGCTGCAGTTTTCATCCAAATATTCTGGAAATTTGTCAGGAAGGTTGTTTTGATGATATCTAGGTCAAGTTCGAAGATGGGTCATCTCTGGTCAAAAACTAGGTCACGAGCTAAAAATAGAAAAAGCTTGTTAACACTCTAATAATTGGGTTGTTAACGGTCTAGCAGTCACAGTTTTGATTGGATCATCATCAAACTTTGTCAGAATGTTTGTCTCAATGAAATACAGATCGAGTTCGAAGATGGGTTATCTCGGGTCAAAAACTAGGTCACAGGAGCTAAAAATAGAAAAAGCTTGTTAACACTCTAGAGGCTGCAGTTTTCATACAAATATTCTGGAAATTTGTCAGGAAGGTTGTTTTAATGATATCTAGGTCAAGTTCGAAGATGGGTCATCTCCGGTCAAAAACTAGGTCACAGGAGCTAAAAATAGAAAAAGCTTGTTAACACTCTAGTGGCTGCAGTTTTCATCCAAATATTTTGGAAATTTGTCAGGAAGGTTGTTTTGATGATATCTAGGTCAAGTTCAAAGATGGGTCATCTCCGGTCAAAAACTAGGTCACAGGAGCTAAAAATAGAAAAAGCTTGTTAACACTCAAGTGGCCGCAGTTTTCATCCAAATATTCTGGAAATTTGTCAGGAAAGTTGTTTTGATGGTTTCTAGGTCAAGTTCAAAGATGGGTCATCTCCGGTCAAAAAACTAGGTCACAGGAGCTAAAAATAGAAAAAGCTTGTTAACACTCTATAGGCTGCAGTTTTCATCCAAATATTCTGGAAATTTGTCAGGAAGGTTGTTTAGATGATATCTAGGTCAAGTTTGAAGATGGATCATGTCTGGTCAAAAACTAGGTCACAGGAGCTAAAAATAGAAAAAGCTTGTTAACACTCTAGTGGCTGCAATTTTCATCCAAATATTTTGGAAATTTGTCAGGAAGGTTGTTTTGATTTTATCTAGGTCAAGTTCGAAGATGGGTCATGTCTGGTCAAAAACTAGGTCACAGGAGCTAAAAATAGAAAAAGCTTGTTAACACTCTCTATAGGCTGCAGTTTTCATCCAAATACTCTGGAAATTTGTCAGGAAGGTTGTTTAGATAATATCTAGGTCAAGTTTAAAGATGGATCATGTCTGGTCAAAAACTAGGTCACAGGAGCTAAAAAATAGAAAAAGCTTGTTAACACTCTAGTGGCTGCAGTTTTCATCCAAATATTCTGGAAATTTGTCAGGAAGGTTGCTTAGATAAATATCTAGGTCAAGTTGGAAGATGGGTCATCTCCGGTCAAAAACTAGGTCACAGGAGCTAAAAATAGAAAAAGTTTGTTAACACTCTAGTGGCTGCAGTTTTCATCCAAATATTCTGGAAATTTGTCAGGAAGGTTGTTTTGATGATATCTAGGTCAAGTTGGAAGATGGGTAATGTCCGGTCAAAAACTAGGTCACAGGAGCTAAAAATAGAAAAAGCTTGTTAACACTCTAGTGGCTGCAGTTCTCATCCAAATATTCTGGAAATTTGTCAGGAAGGTTGTTTTGATGATATCTAGGTCAAGTTGGAAGATGGGTCATGTCCGGTCAAAAACTAGGTCACAGGTGCTAAAAATAGAAAAAGCTTGTTAACACTCTAGTGGCTGCAGTTTTCATCCAAATATTTTGGAAATTTGTCAGGAAGGTTGTTTTGATGATTTTCAGGTCAAGTTCGAAGATGGGTTATCACCGGTCAAAAACTAGGTCACAGGAGCTAAAAATAGAAAAAGCTTGTTAACACTCTAGTGGCTGCAGTTTTGATTAAAATATTCTGGAAATTTGTCAGGAAGATTGTTTTAATGATTTCAAGGTAAAGTTCGAAGATGGGTCATGTCTGGCCAAAAACTAGGTCACAGGAGCTAAAAATAGAAAAAGCTTGTTAACACTCTAATGGTTGCAGTTTTCATCCAAACATTCTGGAAATTTGTCAGAAAGGTTGTTTTGATGATTTCTAGGTCAAGTTCGAAGATGGGTCATCTCAGGTCAAAAACTAGGTCACAGGAGCTAAAAATAGAAAAAGCTTGTTAACACTCTAATGGCTGCAGTTTTCATCTAAATGTTCTGGAAATTTGTCAAGAAGGTTGTTTTGATGATATCTAAGTCAAGTTCGAAGATGGGTCATCTCCGGTCAAAAACTAGGTCACAGGAGCTAAAAATAGAAAAGCTTGTTAACACATTAGGGGCTGCAGTTTTCATCCAAATATTCTTGAAATTTGTCAGGAAGGTTGTTTTGATGATGTCTAGGTCAAATTCGAAGATGGGTTATCTCCGGTCAAAAACTAGGTCACAGGAGCTAAACATAGAAAAAGCTTGTTAACACTCTAGTGGCTGCAGTATTGATTCAAATATTCTGGAAATTTGTCAGGAAGGTTGTTTTGATGATTTCTAGGTCAAGTTCGAAGATGGGCCATCTCAGGTCAAAAACTAGGTCACAGGAGTTAAAAATAGAAAAAGCTTGTTTAACACTCTAGTGGCTGCAGTTTTTATTCAAATATTCAGGAAATTTGTCAAGAATGTTGTTTTGATGTTTTCTGGGTCAAGTGCTAAGATTGGTCATGTCTGGTCAAAAACTAGGTCACAGGAGCTAAAAATAGAAAAATCTTTTTAACACTCTAGTGGCTGCTGTTTTGATCCAAATTTCCTGGAAATTGGTCAGGAAGGTTGTTTTGATGATTTCTAGGTCAAGTTTGAATATGGGTCGTGTCCAGTCAAAAATTAGGTCACATTGCCCAAATATGGAAAAATCTTTATAACACACTAGAGGTCACATGTTTGACTCAGTCGCATCAAACTTGGTCATGATGCTTGTTTAAGACATTGCTTGGATGCGGTTGTGTCAGGTGAGCGATCCAGGGCCATCATGGCCCTCTTGTTTGTATATTTTGTTCCTTTTGGTTATTTACATGGGTTGTAAGTGTAGTTTACAATCTGAAAATTATTTTCTTTGTTCACTTCACAATATCTTATTTTTTAATACATTTTCACAATTTTTTTATGAAAATTAGCATGAATCTTGAAGCATGCCGCTTTAAAAATTAAGGGATTAAAATATAAAAAATAGAAAAAAATGTGCTACCAACAGTATAAAGCCTAGTCAGACTGTTCAGATGTTCAGGCTGGCCTGGCTCTGTACTGGTGGCAAGGGTTAAATCAATCTCAGTTCCGACACGTTAAAGATTAATATATTAAGTTCTTTGTTTGTAAAAAAACAAATTCTTTGTTTGTAAAAAAAACTTGTGTAAGTGCAAAACTGTACTTTTCATCTCATTAAAGTTCCATAGAACTTCCAGTTTAGGGGGTTAATTAACCCTTTCACTGCCATAGGGACGGCTTATGCCGTCCCTGTTATTTTCGGCGTATTTGCCATATGGACGGCTTTAGCCGTTTCTATAATGATAATAGTAATAATAATGAATTAATAATAATAAGAATAAAAATAATAATAAATATAAAGAAAATTATACCATTGACAATAATTATTATTATACTAACAGATTTGGAAACACATAGAATTATTATAGTACTAATTACAAATAATAATAATTATATTAATTAATAATATAGTAATTTCTTAGAAAACCCTATCAATAACAATAACCCTCTGGCAGCGAAAAGTTAAAATATTGATAAATGCATGTACTAAAAATCAGAAATAAATTTTGTCTGCATAAGATATATTTTTGCGCATACATTTTATCTTGCCTGGTGCAAATTTAGGTGAACGCTTATGTCAACCAAACAAAGTCGCAAAGATGTCTGAATTTACAACAATGAAAGGATTACAGACTTGTGCTGTTTTAGCTCAAATTTGGCATTTTAGTATTTGTTTATTTTTAGCTCACCTGAGCTTGCTCAGGGTGAGCTTTTAGGATCGGTGAATGTCCGTCGTACGTCCACAATTGCTTGTGAACACTCTAGCGGTCGCATTTTTGCCTCAATCATCATCAAACTTGGTCAGGATGCTTATCTAGTTGAAAGCTCGGATGAGTTCGAACATGGCTCATCTCGGATGAAAAACTAGGTCACAAGAGCTAAAAATAGAAAAACCTTGTGAACACTCTAGAGGTCACATTTTTGACCCAATCATCATCAAACTTGGTCAGGATGTTTGTCTAGGTGATAGCTCGGATGAGTTCGAACATGGGTCATCTCGGATGAAAAACTAGGTCACAGGAGCTTTAAATAGAAAAACCTTGTGAACACTCTAGTGGTCACATTTTTGAACCAATCATCATCAAACTTGGTCAGAATGCTTGTCTAGTCAATTGCTTGGATGAGTTCGAACATGGGTCATCTCTGATGAAAAACTAGGTCACAGGAGCTAAAAATAGAAAAACCTTGTGAACACTCTAGTGGTCACATTTTTGACCCAATCATCATCAAACTTTGTCAGGATGCTTGTTTAGATAATAGCTCGGATGAGTTCGAATATGGGTCATCTCGGATGAAAAACTAGGTCACCGGAGCTATAAATAGAAAAACCTTGTTAACACTCTAGCGGTCACATTTTTGCATCAATCATCATCAAACTTGGTCAGGATGCTTATCTAGTTGATAGCTTGGATGAGTTCGAACATGGGTCATCTCGGATGAAAAAGTAGGTCACCGGAGCTAAAAATAGAAAAACCTTGTTAACACTCTAGTGGTCACATTTTTGCATCAGTCATCATCAAACTTTGTCAAGATGTTTGTCTAGGTGATAGCTCGGATGAGTTTGAACATGGGTCATCTCGGATGAAAAAGTAGGTCACCGGAGCTAAAAATAGAAAAACCTTGTTAACACTCTAGTGGTCACAATTTTGACTCAATTGTCATCAAACTTGGTCAGGAAACTTGTCTAGGTCATTGCTGGGAATAAATCGAACATGGGACATCTCGGATGAAAAACTAGGTCACAGGAGCTAAAAATAGAAAAATCTTGTTAACACTCTAGTGGCTACTGTTGTGATCCAAATATTCTGTTAATTGGTCTGAAAGTTTGTTTTGATGATTTCTAAGTCAAGATCGAACATGGGTCATCTTGGATGGAAAACTAGGTCACACCGCCCAAATATGGAAAAACCTTGTTAAAATTCTAGTGGTCACATTTTCGACTCAATTATCATCAAACTTGGTCAGGATGCTTGTCTAGGTAATTGCTTGGATGAGTTCGAAATCGCATGTGAAACTAGGTCACCGGAGCTAAAAATAGAAAAATCTTGTTAACACTCTAGTTGCTACTGTTTTGATCCAAGTATCCTGGAAATTGGTCTGAAAGTTTGTTTTGATGATTTCTAGGTCAAGTTTGAATATGTGTCACCTGGGTAAAAAACTAGGTCGCACTGCTCAAATATGGATAATCCTTGTTAACACTGTAGTGGTCCAATTTTTGACTCACCTGTCATGAGACTTGGTTAGAATGCTTGTCTAGGTAATTGTTTGGATGAGTTTGATAAGTCAGGTGGGCGATCTAGGGCCATCATGGCCCTCTTGTTTTAAGAACTGTCATATTTGGGAATGGGTATCGGATTCCAGATGTCATATTTGAACTGACTTCAAAATGAAATGTTTATATTTTCAGCTTGATTTCTCCACTCCATTACTGTTCAGACTATAGGCCTTATTTCACTATACATGACAGCGAGTTTAAAGAATATACAACAAGAACTCAAGCTCCGTAAGTATCATGATGATTTTGAAAAATTTCCTCACTGGCTTTAATATTATAAGAATCTTACACTGGCTGCTGGTACGGCCTGGAATATCTAGCTCGAGGCCATAATGAGGCTCTGCCAAGTTTCTGCAAAACAGTAACCTGAAAGCTAGATATTCCTGTCTGTACCGACAGCCGATGTTTGAATTTTCTTGCATATTACATGTCAATTATTTTCATAACAGAAATTATTATAGTAGCTTAAGAATTTACAAACTTCATTCATAATGGTAAAATGACGTTATCTTAAGATCTCAATTCATTCATAAAGGGAACGCGGCAATAACGTCATTTAAAGCACGCGACTTGTCTCACATGGGAGTGTAAGACAGGTTTTTCTAGCACCGGTGTAAATGGTAGGTAAACCTGTCTGATATGCAGGAATAAAATGCCCTGCCATTAATGCAGATTTATTTGTAAAAATTCTAATTAGACTGTAGTTAAGTTGATATGTCTGATCCAACTATGATGCATGAATGTGATCCTGAAAAATGAATCTTGTTCTCAGGCGTTGCATGAATCTTGTATGTAAATTTGATTCTTAGAATCAATTTGGTATAAGGTGCATGAATCTGGTCTTGAGAAAGAATGTGAATCTGGTCCTGATGAGGTGGGTGAATCTGGTTTTGAGAAGGTGCGTGAATATAGATTTGATAATGTGCTTGAAATTTGTCTTGTTAAACCTGGTCTTGATGAATTGTTGAATGTGATTCTAATAAGTTGCGTAAATTTTCCAAAGGGTGGCATGGATCTAGTTTTCATAAACTGTGAGAATCTGGTCCTGATAAAGGACATAGATCTAGACCTGATAAGATACATAACTCCAGTCCTGATAAGAAGCTTAAAATTTTCCAAAATTTTAGTTTTTTGTTTGTTTGTTTTTTTTGGGGACAGGGGGTGGGGTTATCTTTTTGTCTGTAGATTACGTTTAATGAAGTAAAAAATATAAACTTGAACAAATTTGTATTCTAATTGTTTTTCCATATATCTTGTCAAAGGTTTCGTTCAGCTATTGTCAGTTATGTATTTTTTTTATAATTTATAAAAGACGCAGATGATATTTTTATTCCAGACCTCCAGTGATATTGGGAGTGACAAATCCATTCTTCGCTAAAACATTACAACATTGGCCACACATCATCAGGATTGGAGAAATGGCAGGAGATGGTAATATTTTATTATCTCAACTTATCAATATATCAAGGGTTGATTGCAAAACTGAACTGTTGTAAGTCCTTCTTTATTTCATAATATTATAAGTTACTGCAGTTTTGCGATCAAACCTCAATATGCTTTCCCTAATTTTATGTTTACCAAATAGCAACATGTAGATCTATTATTCCCAAGTATTATAATACTTGATTAGATTGGTTCATAATGACCATATCTATTTGAAATGGACCAATGGTAAGACGTTTTATGAAATTAAAATTCTGTCCCAGAACTTCTTTCCAACAATGTAGACAGTAATAGTGTTTGAATTTAACCCTTTACCTGCTGAATTTGTGTAATGGATATGCCCAGCTTTGAATTTGGAACAGTCCATTCAAAGTTGAAGGGATTTCAATATGACAATACAAAAATTGCTACCAACAGTATAGAGACTGGTCAGACGGCACAGATGCACAATCTAGACTGGCTCTATTCTGGTGTGGCCGAGAATCAAACTCCTCACAGTGATTATTTCCCTTGGCAGATTGTTATCTCAGCCTTAGCAGACGTCACATGCTGATGAAAGTCACATGACCGTTACATAGAAAATCTAACATCATTTTTCTCTTTCTGTGTTATCTTTAACTTTTCATACCTACATTTGTTATACAAAAATGTAGTTTTATCAAAAAAAAAAAAATATCAAAACTATACAAAAAAGTGGAAAATAAATTAAAAAACTAAAAAATATAAAATAAAATAAAAATGTGTGTGGTGGCAGAGATATATATGTACTGATAAGGGGAGATCACTGTGTAGGAGATTGGCAGGGAATAATCTCTTTTGGTTTCAGCAAGTGAAAGGTTAAGAAAAAAAATAACCATAGTTTTGGAAAACTTATTTAATGACTGTAGCTTATATTATCAATAGGACTAAAAGGCAATGAAATTATAGGTAAGCAACTTCAATCTCAGCTCAGTTAATGCTTTTTATTTCAGTTTAACAGCGGGAAATGAAATGATTCTTGTTTTCAGTTTTACCTCTTATTAGTTATATTCCTTGCAATTTTTCTTTTAAAATCTGCAAACTTTTTTGTTATTTTTGCACAAAATGTTTAGCAAAAATTCAGTTACAGAGCTGGGAACACGCTTAATCCTTGGCATTTTATATAAAAGCTTCAACAAAGTTTTAAAACATTAAACATTTAGGAAATGTAGAAATATTCACAAATTGTTAATTTTCTACATGTCATGTGCAAAGTTTGACTGAATTTATGGTATCTCATATGAAGTTTAAAGTAACTAACAGAGTAAAGACTATTTTGACGTATTTTAGGTAATACATGGTTTGTCGTTACTTTTTACTTAAGTTACTTTATTATTTGTTCACTTGATAATGTTTTTATCTGTTAAAATTTTTATGAAGTTTACTGTTGTGCAGCTTAAAAAATGATATTTTATGTTGACAATGTATGAATTTTGTACTCATGTCACGGTCTTGCATGAAAGGCTTACCAAAATTATGCAGTTTCAGTTATAGTTGTGAACAGTAAATAAAGCATCTTGAAGAACTTGTGAAGATTTATAATGAAGCTGATTTGTATATTTTTATAGCCGCAGTGCCAAAGGGTTTCAACAAATTAAAAAAGGCGAGCTCACTCAAAACATTAGATTGTAAACCAGGTAGGTTGGCGTTGTTTTATAACATGGTAAATAAACAAATGGAAATATCCTGAAATAGACCTTGCAGTTTAATCTTAGAACATGTACAGTCTTTTTCTGAAATGAGGTATATACTTTTGATAACACCCCAAGGAGAATGTCAAAGTTTACAAATAGTTCTACCCTAAGCCCGATTTGAATGAAAAGCATTGCAACGCTTTACAGTTTTGAATCAGTTTTCATAATTAGAATAGCTATTCTGAAAAGACAGAGTTAGCAAATGATCTGAAATTTTGCACACAAGTTATTGGCATAGATCTACATCAAATGGAGTATTTATCTTAAAAAAATATTTCCAGTCCTGTTATAACTCTTTAAGAATGACATCTTTTTGAGAACTTTCATGATACATACTTTTCTAGATACTTTTTGAACGCCCTTTGTAATTCAGGGATGCAGTACATTAATCTGTAGAATTATTACTAGAATGTGAAAAGCTTTGCCGCCAGTGTTATAAAGTGTCATACTGTTCTTATATTTCAGGTGTCTACACAAGGTATAAACCTTTACTTATTAAAGATAAAGGCATTCTCAAGAGATTGATAAAGGTATGAAATAATTGTAACTAGTCAACACACATTACATTTAATGTATTAGCAATGAAAAATCTGAAGCATTGATAGTGGTTTTTTGACAAATTTGAACTAGTCAATTAGCTAGCTGTCACATGATTTGACTGTTCTTGCAATATCTGTTTACATCCCAGTAAGGTTTTAAGAATGCCTCCACTTAAAAAAATTTTTAAAAAAAACTTGTGCCCCCCTCTCTTTCATTTTCAAACACTTATGTAAAATAAATCAATAAAAATGTAAAAAAGACCAATGAAAATGAAATATTAAACTTTACTAAATTTGACAAATGAACTGTTAAGATTGCATATCTAATTCCAATTTATCATACTGAATTCTAACAACATACATATGCAGTTAAATACAGTAATATTTATTCCTTAACAACTGAAAGTACAAAATGAAAAATTTTGCTTCTAAGTGGAAATGTGGGATTCTATATATTAATGCTCTTCCTCATAAAAAAATCATGAATCAAAATATTTTTTATATAATTTTTTAACCGATGGTTTGATTAACATATTACAACTCCATTTTATTTAGGGCATGCAGTCAAAGCGGCCAGTGGAAGCACAGAATGCGATATTGCGGCGACATTTCCTCGAACTTACTCAGAGCTTCATGATTCCATTGGTACACCTCTTACTGTTATAACTTTTCATTCAATTTTACCACCACTGAATTTGTATAATGGACTTGCCCTGCTTTGAATTTGGAACTGTCCATTATCACTTTTAGGGTTTTCTATGAGCAAATGAGCAGGCTGGCCTAACTGTACATAGGGGGATTGGGGGGGGCAGAGGCAATATATTATTATTGTCGCTGTTACTGTCAGAAGGTTTAACAAGGAGAGGATGTTTTTAAAACGTGTCCATGATAATGTTTTTGTAATATCTGAAAAATAGTTATATGTGGTCTTAGATGTTGATGACAAAAAAATATATACGGGTGTCAGTCAAAGGGAGGTAATAAAATATTTTCTAGGTTTATTTTATAGAAGTTAAGTGTATATACTAAATTTGAATTTGTCTTTTTTGTAAGTAGCTAAAACAATTTAATCATTTATTTTACAGGAAAGATACATGGCCAGCCTCATGCCTTTACAACGAAATATATCACCTCACAAGGTAAATATTGCCTACAATAGAAACCTGTTTATAAATACCAATCTGAGGCCATAAACAACACTATTCCTAATATGTCACCAGTTCTGGTTAGCTCCAGGAAGCAGACTGAGTGTTATTTAGATTTTCTACAAGCTTCACATTCAAGCTGAAATTAATAATGTTTCTTTTAAAGTCTGAATCCAAGTCTACAATTTTTAGCTTGACTATTTGAAGAATAGGAAAAGTTGTTGTACTCACCCAGGCGTCTGCTTTTCCATCACACTTTGGTTAAATTTTTGCATGCTCCAAAAGTAAGGAAGGGAATGGGTTGAAACTTCACTAAGTGATTTAGGGGCATAATAGGTCACTGACCAAAGCCAATAACTTTAACATGGATTTTGACAAAATAATGGCCCTTTTTGAACTAAGAAAATTCTACATTATCCAGCCCCTTATTTAACTATTCAAGCACTGAGAATAGTCCGGCATGCTGTCCTACCATCAGCTCTTTGTTTTCATTGCTTCACAGGGATCTACCCTCTTTCGGTTTGTTTGTTTTTTTACGAAAAGTGATCTTTAGAACAAGCTTGACAATTTAACTATTTTCAAGTTCTGTGTTTTCCAAATCTGAATTCCAGTAAGAAAGGACAACCTCAATGTTTACACATAACTTATCATTTCATGTGTTGCTTACTTTTACAGGGGCCTCCAAGTTTGCGGCAGTTCGATGCAGACGAGTTTATAAAATCATTAGATCAAGCAGGGCCTAACCTGACCTCAGGGGTCAAAGGTGACTGGGAGGGGCTGTATAGAAAATTCTTCCGCTCTCCAAATTTTGAGGGTTGGCTTTACCACCGGCAGTTTGAAGTTAATCAAAAACTACAAGTTTTACATATGGAGGCTTTATGTCAGGCGGTAAGTCACATGATTAGATACATAATCAGGTTTATAGATCTAAACATTGCAGAGTAGTTTCCCCTGAATCATTTAAACATTGCAGAGTAGCTTCCCCTGATTTCTTGTTTTGGTGTTTGTACTGATATGGAAGGGCCGTAGATATTATACTTTTCTAGTTTACTTGAGTCGTTCAAGTATATAATGTTACTGCAATGACCACTTCACTTTCCGGTGGCGAGGGTAAACACATTCCGGTGGCGAGAGTAAACACATTCCGGTTGCAAGGGTAAACACATTCCGGTGGCGATAGTAAACACATTCCGGTGGCAAGGGTAAACACATTTCTGTGGTGAGGGTAAACACATTCTGGTGGCGAGGGTAAGCACATTCGCGGTGGCGAGGGTAAGCACATTCTGGTGGCGAGGGTAAGCACACATTCCAGTGGCGAGGGTAAACACATTCCGGTGGCGATAGTAAACACATTCCGGTGGCAAGGGTAAACACATTTCTGTGGTGAGGGTAAACACATTCTGGTGGCGAGGGTAAGCACATTCTGGTGGCGAGGGTAAGCACATTCTGGTGGCGAGGGTAAACACATTCTGGTGGCGAGGGTAAGCACATTCTGGTGGCGAAAGTAAACACATTCCAGTGCAAGGGTAAACACATTCTGGTGGCGAGGGTAAGCACATTCTGGTGGCGAGGGTAAACACATTCCGGTGTCGATAGTAAACACATTCTGGTGGCGAGAGTAAACACATTCTGGTGGCGAGGGTAAGCACATTCTGGTGGCGAGGGTAAGCACATTCTGGTGGCGAGAGTAAGCACATTCTGGTGGCGAGGGTAAGCACATTCTGGTGGCGAGAGTAAGCACATTCTGGTGGCGAGGGTAAGCATATTCCAGTGGCGAGGGTAAGCACATTCTGGTGGCGAGGGTAAGCACATTCCGGTGGCGAGGGTAAGCACATTCCAGTGGCGAGGGTAAGCACATTTCTGTGGTGAGGGTAAACACATTCTGGTGGCGATAGTAAACACATTCCGGTGGCAAGGGTTAACACATTTCTGTGGTGAGGGTAAACACATTCTGGTGGCGAGGGTAAGCACATTCCGGTGGCGAGGGTAAACACATTCCGGTGGCGAGAGTAAACACATTCCGGTGGCGAGGGTAAACACATTCCGGTTGCGAGAGAAAACTAACTAAACACACACTTCACCTAGCAGTCTAATAAACACATTGTGATGTGATACAATAAATATAACTGTTGTTTCCTAAAACAAGAAACTTGTCACTCATTGCTTAGTACTGGTTGGTTCAACGAACAGATTTGAGCATGTTTCAGTAAGCTTATACTTCCAACACAAACTAGAATAAATTTGTATAAACTAAAAACTAATGAATATAAATGTGATGTTCTCTTTTGTAGCTGATGCTTATAAGTGTTTAAATTATTTTGATGCGATTGGCTTTAGATATCATGTGAAGAATTTGGTTATGAAACAAATTAATCTTTGATTGACTCTCTGCAGGGCTTACTCTGTAGCAAAGTTAATATGACTTTTTAAATATCTTACAAAATTATATTGAAATAGCATAACATTACAAATGTAATTAGAAATCCTGTAACCATTTTATATTTCTGTACTGCTGTATCCATTTAATATTTCTGTACTGATTTTAATAAAATCTTAACAAATGGCACATTTCTGTCAGACTGCATCAAAACAAAAAAATCAAATTTTTCCAAAGTAAGACTTTACAATAAATTTTACCTCTCTAGGACAACACCTCTCAATAACAGCCAAAATCTTGGCCTTTCATAACGGAATTCCTCTGAAGAGGTTTAAGTGTATACTTTTGTTATCAAATCTATATTGTATTTGTTGTAGAACTTATTGGACTGGATACAGGATAAAGAAGAAGTGGAGATTGTAGATCTGGTTCTAAGGATAAGAGAGAAATTGGTATGTTTTTTGATCCTGCTAGATAATATTTTCATGTCTGAACCCTTAATCAGATTGGACTAAGATCGATGAACAATTGCTACCAGCATAGAGCATGACTGGCCAGTATTACCATGCAGTCTGGCCAGGTTCAAACTGTTTGAAGCTCCAATTTTGTCTTTCATTGATATCATAATGGACTGTTCCATATTCAAATTCAGGTGGTTAAGGGCTAAAGTTCAGCCTTGAAGTTGTATATTCTTATCTATAATACCCGTTCCACCTCACATTTAGTTGTGAAAAAAGAACATTTCTTTTATGTTTGATCTGATTTGTTATTACTGTGAATAGCAAGTCTTTAATGGAATGGATTGGAACCTTTTACGTAACTACATGTATATATAAAAATATGCAGAAATATGTATAGCTCAGCGCTGAGCTGCCACTCTTATCAATAGTACTTCAGACCACTTGCCCCTCACCACTGTGGGTTCAAATCCCGACAGGGACTTTGGATTCTTTCATGTGAAGAAGCTATCCAGCTAGCTTACGGAACGTCGTTGGTTCTACTCAGGTGAACGTTCGTGCCTGAAATAATGCACAGAAGGGCACCTGAGGTCTTCCTCCACCAGTAAAAGCTGGAACGTCGCCAAATGACCTATACTGTGTCTGTGTGACGTAAAATCCAATCAAACAAAAAAAACTTATAAATAGAATCCTAGTGAAAGCTTCAATTGAAATAGAACTATAGTCTAAAAGATGAATGTGTTGTTAATTTTACATATTTAAGTTTGACAGGCTTTGTTTATCATGTAAGAACCTGACCGGGCATCCGAGGCCAAGTGGTTTAAGTCACTGACTTCAAACCAATTGCCCCTAACCATTGAGGGTTCAGGGACTTTTGATTCTTTTATGTGAGGAAGCTATTCAGTTAGCTTGTGGAACATTGGTGGTTCTACTCAGTTGCCCCTTTCAGGCCTGAAATAATGCATGGAAGAGAGTTTGATGTCTTTCTGCACCTGTAAAGCTGGAAAGTTATTTTATGAACTATGCTGTGTTGGTACAACATGAAACCCAACACCTAAAAAATCTGACATGTAATTTTGATACTTATAGTGTTTGTTTTTTTGCCAGTATGATAGATATTCCTGTTTTCTTCTTCTTCAGAAATTTGCAACAAATAACAGCATTGCAGTAAAAACAGAAAGTATTAATAAACTTGAGAAACATTTGAAGGCTATTATCTCCTCCCTACCTGAAGATCTACAATCAGTACTCAACACTTGACATTAAACCCAAAGGATAATTAATGAACCTAAAGTGCTTTTTCAAAGTGTAATATATATAAATAGAGCAAAAATTGAGAAAAGTAGAATTCTGACTGGTGATATTCTCAGCAGTGATGGAATATTGTAAAATTTAACCCAGAAGATATTTAATTCAGATATATTTAACACTTATCATGAACATTAAAAAGTCTGAATATGTGATAAGCAAGATAATCAAGTATTGAATGAGCCCAGGACCCTTTCATTTCATTGTTACTTTGTCAATAGACTTAGATGATATTTATTTAGTTTTGTTCGTCAAAGTCACCAGGGTTCCAATGTTATTTGTCTCTGGTTGGTTCTTCAAAAAGGATCAGGCCAGAAAGTAGGCCTTTTCTATGTGTTTTAGTAATGTTTCAGGGTTGTAAGAAAATAAGTAAAACCGAATCAAACATATTTTTCTGGCCTTATTACTTCATTTGTGCACACTTTTACTTCATAAATAAGTGTGCACCTTATTCACATACGATCTTGTGTGACATACATTTTATGAAATGTAGTGCTGATTACATTTCTAGAATGGTGTGCACTTTATATAGTGGTGATCATAGTGCATTTAAGGGTTTATACCTTAAATAGTGGGTGTGTATATAGATCACACGTATATACTGATTTATCTATAAAGTGGTGATCATACTATGTACACCATATAGTGTTGTTCACACTTATGTGCATTAGATATAGTGATGATCACACTTAAACAATGGTACACACCATACATAGTTGTGGTCACACTTTTTAGTGCTGTGAATCTTGATATGTTATGGCGTACACATTATTCACTGACAGACTCATTATAATAAGGTATACACCTAGTGTACACTATACACCTAGTGTACACCTCAACACTGTTTTAACACATAATGGTCTATATGGCTCATCACATATGTACTCATGAATTGAGATGCTTAGTTTTACCTTGAGATTATATTTAGACAATTTCATGATTATATTTAGACAATTTTCAGGAATACAGACACACAAAAATAGGGTATCTGCTTAGCTAGTGCAGGTATATTTTCTTTGCTTCATATTTAAATGCTTTGCTTTGTGTTTTTTTATATTGTATGTTACCGAGTTTTATGGATTCTGCTTCACATTTAGCCCTTATCATGCTAACTCTCTTAAAATGGACTTGCCCATCTTTTAATGTGGACAAACCCATTTATCATTTTTAGGGAGAATTTTGAAATAAGTTCTGATTGAATAGGGCAGACCATGATAAGATGGCATTCATGTGCCTGTAATCTTGGTCTGCACTGGTTGCATGGGTAGAATCTGTTGCCGCCAATAGACAAATGGTTCAAGAGACTTAATATTCAATATTAAAGGCACATTATGTCTCAGAAATGTATATGAAAAAATCTTAAGAAAGAGCAAACATGAGTTTTGTAACTTTTAAATTATGGTTTCAGAGCATGTTACATGTAAGATACTTTCCGCATGAAGGAAGTAGTGCTTAATAATATTTGAAATTATTACTCAAAAAGTAGCAAAATGTAAAGGAAGTTATATACATTGATTTCCAAACAAAATATGTAAAGTTGTAAACACTTGAACTGTACTAATTGCCAATAAAAAAACAGAAGCCAAAATTGTTAAGGCAATTGGTCAATGAGTTATGTTTTTGCAAACTAGAACAAGACACCAAAAATAAATAGCTGTCATGAAATAAAACTATTAGCATTTTTGAAGGTAAATGGGCCTTTAAAATGAATGAATACTGAGCTAATATCAACAAAAGTTGTTGAAGGTTTTTGTGTGTGTGTGTGTTTTTCATTCACTGCCAGAGGTTATTGTTAAACAGTTACTGTATATTTGTGAGGAAAATTTCTAAGAAGTACTTTTCACTGATCAAAGCTGGGTGGACTGTTAGTATAATTTTCATGGACAAAGTTAAAAAAATTAAATGATTTATTTTATATTTTATTATGATAGAAACAACATGACCAAATTACATTGAAATTTTATGCATATCAAAAGTGTTATACACGTCTTGTAGACTGTGAGTGATCGGTTATATCCATCTTAGATTATCAATGAATAGGTTATATAACTATCCATAGTTCTGCACATTTGTAATGTCACTTTTCATTGGATAATTATGACATTTATGTAGCTTTATATACACAGCTGCTGTCAAATTATGAAGAAATCACATTTTTTCTTCAAGAAAAGGAAGTTTGCTGTATTATATATAAATTAGTTATTAAGATTCCTGACAGTTAAATAGCCATTATGTAAACAGTTGTTTGCAATATAACCCTTGCTTAGGTGGCTGGGTTATATATACAAATTACCATTTATATAGGGTCATATAACCAAAAATCTTTATGAACTTAAAATATCTAGAAAGGTTGTAAGGTGTTGTTTTGCCAGTGTGTGCTAGTGCATTTTATTTATTTTATATGTATATAAAGATGTGTAATAGAGTAGAGGCATCACTAAAAGATTTGTAATTCTAGTCCAATTAACCATGTGCTAAGAATGGTGCCTTTATTTAGGGGAAAAAGGGTTATGTTTATTTTTAAAAAAACATGGTTATTTGAATAAGGTTACTTTTATTGGAATAAACATGTTTATTTAGATCAGGTTACTTTTATTGGAATAAACATGGTATTTTTAGCTCACCTGTCACAAAGTGACAGGGTGAGCTTTTGTGATCGCTTTTCGTCCGGCGTCCGTCCGGCGTCCGTCCGTCCGTAAACTTTTACTTAAAATGACTTCTCCTCATAAACCACTAAGCCAATTTCATCCAAACTTCACAGGAATGTTCCTTTGGTGGCCACCTTTAAAAATTGTTCAAAGAATTTAATTCCATGCAGAACTCTGGTTGCCATGGCGACGGAAAGAAAAAACTTTAAATATCTTCTTTTAAAAAACCATAAGAGCTAGAGCTTAGATATTTGGCATGAAACATCTTCTAGTGAGTGTCTACCAAGTTTGTTCAAATAAAAGCCCTGGGGTCAAAATTGGCCCCGCCCCGGGGGGTCATTGATTTTCCCTATATGCATATAGTAAAAACTTAAAAAATCTTCTTTTAAAGAACCCAAAGAGCTAGAGCTAAGATATTTAGCATGAAACATGTTCTAATGGGTGTCTACCAAGTTTGTTCAAATAAAAGCCCTGGGGTCAAAATTGGCCCCGCCCAGGGGGTCATTGATTTTCCCTATATGCATATAGTAAAAACTTAAAAAATCTTCTTTTAAGGAACCAAAAAAGTTAGAGCTAAGATATTTGGCATGAAACATGTTCTAATGAGTGTCTACCAAGTTTGTTCAAATAAAAGCCCTGGGGTCAAAATTGGCCCGCCCCGGGGGTCATTGATTTTCCCTATATGCATATAGTAAAAACTTAAAAAATCTTCTTTTAAAGAACTCAAAGAGCTATGGCTAAGATATTTAGCATCAAACATGTTCTTAAAGGTGTCTATCAAGTTTGTTCAAATAAAAGCCCTGGGGTCAAAATTGGCACCGCCCCGGGGGTCATTGATTTTCCTTATATGTGTATAGCAAAAACTTAAAAAATCTTCTTTGAAAAAAACCCAAATAGCTAGAGTTAAGATATTAAGCATGAAACATCTTTTAGTGAGTGTCTACAAAGTTTGTTCAAATAAAAGACCTGGGGTCAAAATTGGCCCCGCCCGGGGGTCATTGATTTTCCTTATATGTGTATAGCAAAAACTTAAAATTTTCTTGAAAAAACCCAAATAGCTAGAGTTTAGATATTAAGCATGAAACATCTTCTAGTAAGTGTCTACAAAGTTTGTTCAAATAAAAGCCCTGGGGTCAAAACTGGCCTGGCCCCAGGGGTGTCATTGTTTTTAACTATATGTGTATAGTAAAAACTTAAAAAAAATCTTCTTTAAAGAAGCCCAATGAGCTAGAGCTTAGATGTTTAGCATGAAACATCTTCTTATGGGTGTCTACCAAGTTTGTGCAAATAAAAGCCCTTGGGTTAAATTGGCCCTGCAACGTTGGGGGGGGGGGGGGGGCTATCTACAGGTGAGCGACCTCAGGGCCATCATGGCCCTCTTGTTTATATTTAGTGACAGGAGGATTTCAGAATTTATTTAATTTGCATGGAAAATTTAACAGAATAAATAATAAATCTAGAAAGTGAAATATTTACATTTGTCCACTCTTTTGATTTAAAGAATTAAAAGGAATAAAATTTGAAAGAATTTCATTTCAATTATGTTTTAAACTGTAAAGAGAAGACTCATAAAACATTTGAATTTGTGTCATAAATTTTGATAATTTTATGAAAGTATTTTATTTGTCATTACGTCATGAATTTTAATTAAAAAAATCACTGTGTTTATTTATTGAAAGGAATGAATTAGGAAATAAAGGCATGCTTTACAAAAATATTATATAGTAATGAAAAGCACAGTAATATTTGATGGTACATATATTTTTCATCAAATGTCATCATTTTTTTTTATACAAACACAAAACTGTATGTAGTAGATATTTTGCATCTGTTAAATGTTGAGAATTTGTTAAAAATTTGCTAGGGTAAATAGAAGTACCGTAAAATTCCTGATAAAGGTCCTTCTAACAATAAAGACCATTTTACTTATTTCAAAAATTGATTTGCTTGTAGACATTTTCCAATTAAGATGGAATGAAAAATTGTTTTTCAAGTTTCAAGTTTTATTTAATATATATCTCACTTTGCATTTTTACAAAATAAAATGTTGGCCTTCTTAGCTCAATATGGTTTAGGCACCAGACTTGCAGCGGCCATTTAACCCTGCATAATCATAAGATGAGACTAAATTGGTTTGAATTGCCAGAGTCTATACGTCCAGCAAGTGAGTTGGGTTTGATCCCGACCAAAGTCATCTTTCCTGTTTCAGTGCCATGTGGCCTTAACTGTGTTTGTGCACCCTAAAATCGAACAAAACAAGAAAAACAAAAAAAGTTTAATAGGGAGAGCATCAGATCATTGGGTAAGATAAAAATTCTTTGTGATAATTGATCTCAGACATTGAGTCTTGTGGTCATTTGTTTCTCACTGCTGATTCAGATAATTGTGATTGAGTAATTAGTCATTTGTGGAGAATTTGGTATTTACTGGGTAGTTATCCAGGAAAACCATTTGTCAGGATTGGTTACTGAAATATAACCAAGTCATGTGTTAAATCGGTATGGAAACCAGGACACCATACATAATCTATTTCTCATAATAATGAATAATTATAATCATAGACAGTCACATGACTTTGTGAGTTCAACATTGAATTAATTTATATTAATGTGAAAAAGTATTCTTCAACATTTGAAATTATACACACCCTCTACTGTTGTAATTGTAATAATTAATACCCTAGGGCATGCTTATTAGGAATTTTATGGTATATGAGTTATTATTGCTATTGAATTATTTCAGAAATAAGGTGCCAAATATACAACATTTTATACAGTGTTTTTAACATGCATGTATTTTGTTTTTATGTCCCTGAAATAGTATAATTATTAGCATGGCTCATATTATATCATTTTCATCATGTGTGAACTTTTAGAAGGAAAAACAATTTAATTTTTTGTCACATTAGTTCTTGCATTATCTACAGTTTAATGATTTAACCACCTCACCCCCAAATTTTGATGTTAACCCATTACTTCATGAGCATTTTGTGAAAAATGGCTGTTTTCATTGAAAAGTCTCCCGTTACAAGTTCAAATTGCTATAATACTATATAAACTGCTTCAACACTAATCAAACTTGACACAAATGTTGACTGGACCATTGCCCTTGAAACAACATGCTCAGGCTTAAATTTTCTGTTACCATGGCAATGAGGGGACATCTCAAAATTGCCAAAAATCACTATTTTGCGTTGATTTTTTCCATCAAAATTGATTTCAAAGTGCTGCAACTTCTCAATGAATACAGATAGAGTCAAATGCTTTTCAGCGTTGGTTACACATTACCTTATGATCAATCTGGGGTCATTTATAGCCTCTCACAAGTCCAAAATTTTCTTGGCGCATCCCCCTTCTGGCAACCCCCTGATGTATCTTTTGGTTGGGGGCCGCGCCGAAAAAGTGGTCACTTTTTTTAACAACATTGCTCAAACAAAAACAAGTGTTGGGGGCCTGAATAAGGCATTTTTTCACCATTAGAGACAACAAAAAAGGGGGGGGGAGTGAAAAAGGCGTGTATATCGCGTAATGGGTTAAGGACTTGACCTGCTTTGAATTGGGGCTGTCCACTATTGATTTAAGGGATCTCAGTATCAAAATATTAAATCAAGAAAATAGATAACATTTAAGGTAGCTAATTAAAGGCACATGAAGCGTGATAAATAACTTCACTGTTCATTTTGTAGAAAGAGTAAACATGTGTTTGATAATGTTGTAATTATAGATGTAGAAGATGTGAGATGTTTATAGCCTGACAAAAATAGCCCTGAATGTGACATAATTAGTCATTAAGGAAACAAAACATAAACAAAGCGTTTTTTAACTTCGATATAAAATAATTAATCACTATAACTATACTAATTGCAAAAACACAAAAGAAACAAAGCCAGTTATATGGCTAAGGAGTTCAGTTTGGAAACTAAAACAGAACACCAAAAAATAAAAAATAAAAATGATTAATGAAAATAATTATACTTTAAGGCTTAATGGGCCTTTAAATTATTATTTACATTGTATTTAAAATCATTTTTTGTCTGAAAAATAATTGTAGATGTTTGATATAATGTATTTTATATCATCATGTAGTAATCATTCCTGTTTGTGTAAATATGTAAATTATTATATGTGTTGAACATAAATTGTCAAATTTTCTGAACATAATTTGTCAAAGTGTGTTGTACATAGCTTGTCATATGTGTTGAACATGATTAAATTTTGTCATATGTGTTGAACAATTCAACATTATTTGTCATATATGTTGAACATCATTTGACAAATTCCTGTTTATGTAAATACTGTATGTAAATTTTCATGCATTGAAAATAATATGTCAAATATGTTGAACATAATTTATAATATGTGCTGAATGTAACTTGTCATATACTTGTTTTTAATATAATTTGTCAAATGTTAAACATAATATGTCAAATGTGTTCAACATATCTTGTCAGTTGTGTTGAACTTATTATTTGGCATATGTTTTGAATATAATTTGCCAAATGTGTTCAACATAATTTGTCAAATGTTGAACACTATATGTCATATGTGTTGAACATATCTTGTCAGTTGTGTTGAACTTAATTTGGCATATGTGTTGAATATAATTTGTCATTTGTGTTAAACATATTTTAGCCATTCCTGATCACATACTTATTAAGTTTTTATAAATAAGCGATCTATTCGCACAACAAAAAAAAACAGCATGTCTTTTTCATTTAAAAAAAAACTGCACAAATGTATTAAATGTTCTTGTATCTGTTTTCTTTATAAAAATATATTTGTTCATGAATATTTAAATTATGAAAAATTAAAATATAAGATGGATGTTATTATTAGAAATGATCA